CAGCAGAGAATGATCGGTAACGGAAGCCAAAAATCTAGACTTCGTTGGTTTTAAAAGGATAGAAGAAAAAAAGCCAGAAAATACATAAAACTAGGCATGATACCCCCTCAAAGAAAGAAGCAACCAAGGCTCATTGAGCAACTCCTGTCACGCTATCCAAATCTACATCAAGGTATGAAAACAGAAACCTAATTGTGAATCGACAAACCCACGTCTATTCCACCCGTGCGCCATAACGAATATCAGATAAGACCGCTGAATAAAGAGACATGGAAGGCTCGGAGGGAAGTCTCATCTTCCCATAACCTCCATGTCATCATGATCCTGTGAGAGCGAATGGTCACCCTTCCTCAACTTCCTAGACACTGGTGGCAAGATAGCCATCCCGTCCTGCCGTAGCATTGCTTCCCCATCAACTACCGCATCACCGGCGGCCTAGACTCCTTATTCCATTGCACCCTCGTCCTAATCCAGTCCACGGCCTCCCTCACGCCGTCGCCCGTCAGCGCGCTCATGGACAGCACCCTCGAGTCGCGGATGCTCGCGCCCTTCTCGCCCTCCATGACCTTCTTGACCAGGCCCTCCTTGATCCTGATGGTCTCGACGCAGTCCTCGCGGTCCTGCTTGTTGGCCAGGATGAGCAGGGGCACGCCCTCCGTGTCCGAGTGCTGCAGGACGTCCTCGAGGACGAGGCGGCACTCGTCCAGCCGGCCGTCGCAGCCGCTCTCGACGTCGCCGTCGCCGATGTCGGTGCTGTCGATGATGAAGACGATGGCGTGGCAGCTCGCGTAGTAGCTCTGCCACAGGCTGCGGAGGGTCATCTGCCCGCCCACGTCCCAGAGCTTGAGGTACATGTCCTGGAGGGGGATGGTCGAGACGTTCTGGCCGACGGTGGGGACGGTGCGCAGCTTGGGCTCGGGCTTGCTGGGGAGGAACAGGGACTTGACCTGCTCGTGGAAGGTCGTCTTGCCGGCATTGTCGAGGCCGAGGAGGATGACGGAGTATTCTGTCGCGGCGGCACCTTCATGTCAGCTGGGGTCTTGGGGAGAGGCAACGTATGCTGGGAAGGGTGACGGGGGGGGAAGCGCTGACCTGGCTTGCTGGTTGCGTAGAGGTAGATTCCTTTGGCAAGGTGATACATGGTTCACTGGGTGTATCTACGCCGATACCTGGCACGTGGGCAGCCTTGCATGCATCTGAGGTGGAAGGAGATGTGCAGGGTGATGGCGCCAAAGCGAGGGCCTCGAGATGCGTCGAGTTGTAGGAGGACTGGCCGGGCGTTGGGTTGGCTTCGCTGGTTCTGCTGGATCGGGCGGATTGATGTTGATGGCAAGCGACGTGTGTTTGATCTGGCCCAGCGATCCGCTACGGCCCTGACTAACAAAGTTCGTCCGGTGTTCTGATGGCCTTGTTACAGGCGGCTCTTCGATAACTGGAGGGGTGAAGATTGCCCATCGCTGCCCCACAATTGCTGTCTTTAACAGGGGCCGCAATCAGTTAGCGGATGGTTAATCTAAAATAATTCCAGCTGTTGCGTGTGTTGATTGTACTTTCCGATATGAACTCGGCTGTTTATATATCTTCCCATTTCAGCTGATATATAAAATGATTACTTGAATCCGCGATGCCACAATTCTACAGATAAAAACGTCATCCACCTGGCAGGATATATGTAACATTGATCTCAAGCCCTGGTTGTTTAGTCGACACCTACCCTATAGCAGACATTCAATTCTTGCAGAGTCGGTTTTAAAAAAAAATCAGATAGAGCGTCTTGATAATTTGAGTGGATTTCCATCATACATAGTATTTCAAAAATATCTTAGCCTATAGAACTAAATGAAAGAGGATGAGCTCGGTGTGAGTTGTGGTAAATCCGGTTGAGTTCATCATTATCAACTTTGGTTTGTCGAGCACAAGATTCTTCAAAGATTGAGAAGATACTATAATCAACTATCTTGTCAAGCGATTGACGCAAGATCATGTGTACTAATCGATGAAACAAGTTGAATAATCAATTATTCAGAGATAGACACCAGGAAGCTTGATACGATCACTGAAGTGTTAGACTTATACAAGGTCTGTTACCAAATGAACCATACTGAAACTGCCTAATGATTGCGAATATTAGAGCATTGATCTGTCATAAACAAGAAGAGAAGTGACTGAGCTTAAATTTGAGTTGTTGATGAACTCTAGAGGAATCAATAGGAACCAAGAATACGAAAGCTTATGAATACCTCCGCCCCTAAAGCGTAGATTTCCCTACCTCCTACGGCACTTGCACAATATCAGTTAAAGTAATATGGGATAAAGAACTTAGGACAAAATTATGTCGCACAATTGCCGTAGGTTTGGAGCACTGGGGTGTCGACCAACGAAACACCTAATTTAATTTGACCAAAAGTCAGAACTTCAATCAAAAGTTCCCAAGCTAAATTCCCCTGAAATTTTGGATGATTCGTGTAGATTCACGACAGTGGTGTGAAACAAGCTCTTCTGAGTGTTTCCCATTATGTTGGCATTTCTATTCATGTTGTATCTAGAATCCTATCGCGTTGACCCGTATAATAAGACCGAAAGTCAGGCGTATAGTGTGAGTTGGCCAATGGACTTCGACCATGGCCTCGTTTTGATGGACCAAATGTTTCGATCGGACGTACTCTAGGATACAACGAGGTACTGTCGGGTACTGGAACGTTGCAACCCATCGAGCTTCCCGAGGCCCTGATCCTGGATGCGATTCATTGGGTTGGATAGCGAAGTGACGTCTTAGAGAAATAGAAATTATTCGTAGATTGTAATGGCCAAAATTGGGTTTCTTTATTGTGTGAGTTCAAATCGCTGCTTGGAAAATAGAAGACTAGGAACGAGAACTTGGAACGATGTATACAAGCCACCAGTCTCGCCGTTGTCAAAGAATATGCATGAATTCAACCATGACTTTGCCATCAGTGTATTAAAAAAGAAAGGATGAAGGAAGGCGGGAAAGGAGGTTTACAGAGTCATGCTAATTTGGCGGGCATCGGAGTTTGCAATAAAATCTGATACTCCGTTGACACTGCTGCGACTCTCCCCGTCCCATCTTTTGTGGAGATAAACCACCTCAAATCTGACCTGTAGAGTCGTTGGCAGGCATTGCTCTTTGGGCGTAATTGTGCCGTCCCGCCGTGACCCGCAGGAACCCTCCGAGTTCATGAACCAGAAGCTAGATGCAAAGATGACAGACCGGGACAAGATGACGTGATGCGGCATGAGACCGATGTCTGCCATAGGGCTCGATGAACCAGGAAGGTGCGGTATCGTGTTTTAAGCTGTGCCCTAATTGAGCATATTCATGAATATGCGTAGTTGGGAAAGAAGTGGCCGAGACATCGCGATCAGCGACGGAAACGTCGGCTCATATGGCAAAAAGAAATCTGATAATGGGACTTATGAAGCCTCGTGGGCGAATTTACGGGCTGGGAGTGAGAGAATTGGCATGTCGCTTGCCCGTTCGCCGCTGAATACGCTGACGAGCTGACATGAAGAAGACATGGAGGTTGCAGCCCGTTTCTCTCTGATACCTGACAGCACCGTGGCGACTCGCAGCGCGATTTGGGACTTGTTGAAGAGAAGGAGAACATCTGTGGCAAGACATGAGATTGAACACGGACAGTCACCGAAGGCGTAGCATCTAGCTATGTCGCAGAAGGGCATGCCATTGTTTCGCCACTGTCCATTCCAGGAAACAAGAAGCATTCTGCATGGCACTCATCTCATATTCGGTGGCGGGGTAGATCACCCACGAGACGGTTCATCAGATAACACCAATCACATCTATGGCTGCTGGATGCTCTCTCTTTTCGCCGATTGGCACCCAGACCGATCTATTGTTGCACTCTGTTATATTTAGACTGCCCTTTGGTGACTTTTTTTTCACATGTTAGCCTAGATTAAGTTGGCACAACATGTGGCCCGGTATAAATAGCAATTCATAGGACCAACGTAGAAACTTGGCGCTCAAAGAAGACATATTCGTAGCTGCATGTCAGATATCGACGCAGGGATCTTTGACCGGAAAACCCACCAAGAAGACCCATCAGGTTGGAGTGGATGCAGGCGGACGGCATGGCTTATTGTGATCCTTGACTGGAACACATGGAAGCGGCAGTTTGAACGAGCTTGTGAGGGGTGGAAGTGCGGCACAGGCAATCTGTACGCAACACGCAATTCTACTAGCTGAAGACTCTCACTGGAGGCAAGCTGCGTCCGTTTTGGGCCAGTCTGTCAGCCCTGTCAGACTGCTAAGCAGGGGCAGGGGTTGCTTACTCCAATATATTATTCAGTCTGCATACGGTTGGTTGTTGGTCATCCGCCGCTTATTGTGCTCAGTGCATAAGCTGTAAGCGGGAGACTGGCCGCGGGTTGGTGGATGATGGAGGGACTTCTGCTCGCTGAATGGCCGTCTGATTGGCCTGGTCGCATCTTGTTGGCCGTCAAAGGTCTTTTGCTGATGGTGGTGTCGCATCATCTTCCCACTTGAGCGTGGCTTGTGCCAAACCATCACCCCTGTTCTTTCCCTTTTGCTCAGAACTGCTCTAGCCTTTGCCTATTTTTGTATCATGCGATTTAGCTGCAGGAATGCTCACAGCCGCAGACATCGATGGCAGGTAAGCGCAGCGAACTCGTTGTTCGGCGGCCGCATTGGGACACACTCTGACTGACAGAGTCTCGTCTCACGGTCGCTAAACCGCTCGCTTCTAGTTATAGAACGCCGTTGTCGAGATTGAGAGTATATATTAAGTCTTACTCTGCCCGGTAGTTATCGTGGTTTCTTCCATCTCCAGCCCAATTTCATCTACACACAAGCTTTCCTGTCTTCAGCCTTCCTCTCTACTTTTCATTTTTCCCTATCTTCTGTACTTCTGTACTTATTGTTTCATCTTCCTCTCCTTTCGACTTTCGTCACTCTTTGTTAGATTATATCACTTCAGAGTTTTGGTCAATATCTGCCCATCATGGTTGCCGTTACTCGTACCACTGCCGCCGGCATTGCCGTCCTGAGCGCCCTCACCGGTGCCGCTGCCTCCACCGAGACCCGAGACGTCTTTGACGATGTTGCCGCTCTTGACGCCAGAGATGTTCTCAATGAGGGCGCTGAGCCCCTCGCCCTCGATGCTCGCGACTTTGATGATGAGCTCTACTACGAGACTCGTGACTTTGATGATGAGCTCTCCTACGAGACTCGCGACTATGACGACAGCCTCGAGAAGCGATTTGGCTTTGGGCTCCTCAAAGCAGGGGTCAAGGGCATCGGCAAGCTTTTCCACCACAGGCATAGGCGATCTCTCGACGACACCGAGGACTTCCTCGAGACCAGAGACATCGACGGGGATGTCGTGACCTTCGACACCCGTGACCTCGGCGACGATGTCCCCCTCGAGGCCCGCGCCATCCTCGATGGCTCCCACCCCGACCTGGTGGTGGTGAACAAGCGCATATTCAAGACCCTTTTTAGAGGCGCCAAAGCCCTGTTCGGCGGCCGTTCCATTGACGACGAGGACCTCGAGGCCCGTGACTTCGATGACTACGAGGACCTCGTGGCCCGTGGCTTCGATGACTACGAGGTCTCCTTCGAGGCTCGCGACGAGGAGGAGTCCTCCCCCGAGGGCCCATCCGGCGGCGACGCACCATCGCCATCCCGCAAGGGCAAGCTCGGCAAGAAGCTTAAGGGTCTCAAGAAGGGCAAGTTCGGCAAGAAGGGAAAGTTCGGCAAGAAGGCCGGCTCCAGGAAGGGCAAGTTCGGCAAGAAGGGTGCCAAGTCCCACAAGAAGTCGGGCAAGAAGAGCCGCAAGTCCAAGTCCAAGAAGGGCACCCGATCCGTCGACGGCGGCGAGTTCTACGAGGCGTAAATCAACAATCCACAACGAGGTGATTGTGTGATGAGTTCCCGTCAGGGAGACTAAATGTTTACGAATTGATGGTTCCAAAGTTCCCAAGGGGGCGCAAATACGGCGCCTGGGGGAAGACTCTATTCAAGCCTTCTTTGGCACACTTGATATATACCCTTAGCGGATGGTGGTTATGATCGGGGCTTGAACGGACGGACATGAAGTGAACTGCACGCCGAGTCGAGGGAATGAGGGAATACTGCTTCGTTCTGGAGGGCAGTTGTTGTACGAGTTATTGTGATATTTTCCCGTCCGCACGACGGGCTTGAGTTTTTTTGCCTGCTTCGAGATATCTAGTTTACATAAAGTCATATACAATTTGGGTTCGAAAATACTTCTCGTTTCCAACGTGCCTAAAATGGAACAGCAACTCAGGTTCATACATGATTGGAGTGGTGACTTATATTCCTTGGACACGATTCCGAGACAGCATTATGAACGTTATGTCTTTCGTACCTGGTCTTACCCCTGGTTTAAAGAGAAATTACCATCATCTCTTCAGTCTCGCATGTGTAGTGTTCCGCAGCTCCCAGAGTGAGCTTTGTCGAAAGTATTGGTCCTAGAGCCGATCATCGCAGCTCCCGAAATCTGGGGAAGATGATTCTGGGGGCCTTGCTAGTCTATGATGTTGATCTACAAACGAACGGACTTTTAAATGAAGTCCGTGACGGGGCCTGGGAGGATCCGGGATGATGACGGCTTTAACCCTGGTCGGAAGGTGTCGCCACCCGGGCAGGTTCTCACCGACACTTGACTTGCATTCTTGAGTTCTTGCATCTCATATTCTCAATTGGTTTAGGGAGCGGAGAAGATTCGAAACGTCTTATGGGACTTGTCGTTGTGGTCCTCCTGAATGAGTTTGCTGACGGTGACCAGAAGTCCGTCGGTTGGTTCCGCGGCCAATTGCGGGCTCTCTGGATTAAGTGATTACTTTGCTTTAGCTCCCCTCAGGATTGAATTGATGGGGAAGTTCAGTGACTCTTAGTTCGTGGTTCAAGCATCGACTGATAGAAGGGCTGTGATGCTGTCGCGGACACTCACTCTTAGTATCTGTCTTCAATCATAGAAGAAGAAGCGAAAATTCTGTTTCAGGACATTCGTCTTTTAGACAGATAATTATCACGCCAGACGGTTCACCACGGGCCTCTTCGGCCCACAATGGATGGACTCGGCGACCAAAGTGAGGAATCCTTCAGGGTCATAGCTTCAGGAAACATTGCGCGCGCCCCCAAAAGTTTCCTAGTATTTTGTAGGTCAATTGGTGCAGCACGGGCTCAGACTTGCCCCCGCATTGAATGTCACTCTACTAGGTTTCGAATCTTCTCCAACTTCTCGAAAGGGGCTGATGGGCATCGTCAAGCACTGGGATGTTATCGGTCCAACTGCCGAGGAGCAACCTGATTGGTGAAAATACGAGAATAAACACTAAGGATGCGGCTTGGTAAGAGATCAGTTGCCGGTTGCCCGTGGGTAAGGGCGGAACTTCACGATACATTGTTGCATTACTGTTGCCTTGAACGATAACTGCCGGGATTGCGTCCTCAGAGGATTCCAGCAGTGCTGTCCTATAGGCTAGTTCGTCGCGATCCTTGAAGCCGTGCCCGGGATAGTGCAAGATTGACCCTTGTCTTGTCTAAGAACCTGGCTTTCGACCAGTGTTATATCTTCTGCATATACTAGCTTACCATGGGATAGTCGGTGCCGGCTACTGTGCAATCCCGATGTTGCGTCCCCTGCAATGACCATGTGAGAGTATCTATATAGACTGGGGATTGCCCCCCAACTAGCCTCTGAGCCTAGAACTTCTTTTCAGAAACCCCAGTTCTCCTCTGGGCCCCCCAAAGTCCATCATGCTCTTCAAGAAACTTGCCGTCGCTTCCGTCATCTCCATGGCAGCCGCCATTGAGACGCACGGAGGCATCGACTTTGAGGTCCGCTGGGAGGCCGGCGGTGAACCAGAGACGAAGCCGATCCGTGACTTCTACGTCAATACCGGTGCCGAGCAGGCCGCCACCCGTCTGTACAAGCGCATATCCGAGAAGAACTTCCAGACCAACTGCGAGGTTACCGGCAAGACCGACGCGGAGTCGTTATTCGTACTCAAGGAATGTATAGCCGCCGAGGACGAGAATGCCTTCTTTAGCCTGTTGTCCGAGGACCTCGACGAGGGTGACGCTTTCTGGGAGAAGGTCGTCAAGGAGTCTACCCCCTCCCGGGAGGACTGGATTGCCGCCCGCGGTTGGGTCCGCGCCTACTTCGACGGTTCTCTGACGGCGCCGCAGTTTGCGGCCTGGATGACCTCCGAGGATGCCGATAGATGCTACCTTCGCGGCAACGCAGAACACTACTACAAGGCAACCGAGAACCTATCCCTTCTGCAACAAAAGTCACGCATCTTCGAAGGCTGGGGCGGCGTCCTGTCGTCGTTCGGCACCAAGCTCATCGACTTCTCCGTCCCCGACTTCCAGATCCGCAAGTTCGGCACCGACGAGTACCCAGCCGAGTGGGCTATCGACCCGTCCTTTGGGTTCCTCCAGCGCGCGGGACCAAAGACCCTCCGCTCCGGAACCGTCTGGGGCATCCTGCACATCGGCGTCCGGGACATCACCGCCGCGGAGTCGGGCAACGGCAAGTCAGGGATGGAGATCTATGGCGCTGTTTGGTACCCCCCCTGGGACCAGAGCTCGGAGGAGAACCAGGCAGAGTTCAAGAAGATGCTGCTGGATGAGGGCTATCAGGTTTTGGCGGAGGTTGTCAACTTCAGTCTGCAGGCTAACAAGGACTGTGCCCAGGAAGGTAAATGCAGGCTTCCCATGGCCGCGATGCCGGGACAGGGTGCTCCTGGATCTGGAAAAGATGAACTATGATTCAAGAGTTATATTCTGTATAAAGTTTGACATGAGAAATACGTCCAATCCGTGTTCAATTTAGATGAGAGTTACACTGTCATGTGTCATTGAGATGGGGGCCACGTCTGAGGTCATGTCTCATCCTACAGCATGCGACCCAACGTATACTAAGCCTCCTGCAAGGCGGCCTTAAGGCAGACTGCCGGGCTTTTAACAATAGTGCTATTTCTGTTGGTAGCTCAATGTAAACTTTTCAACAGCTGCGACATACTAACACTGGCTCATCAATTTATTCCAATTGAGATACCTCGATAAACCTCCCAATATGGCTGCTGCTGTTGGCCTGAGCCCCGGCTCGGCAGACATTTTCTCCCTGGTAGTTCGGATGGGGAGAACGGCGAAAATGCTACACGATGTTCGAAAAGTGATACCGGAGGGACTGGCTAGAGTGGGAGCTCAAGTTGAAGGTCTGCACCAATTAATAAGTCAGTTAAGTGAGATACCAGGCTGCCACGAGATCGCCTTTCGACTGTGTAGAGATGATTGTGACAAACTATTGGAAAAGCTTAGCAAGTTGGAAAAGACCTTCTGCTCGGAGGCGAAGGGAGATATGCTGGATAAGCTCGCAAAAGCTGCATCATTGAGGAATTGGGAAAGGGATCTGGCGTATGTTGAGAATGCGATTAGGGATGTTAAATTAAGCCTGACATTGTAAGTGAGGATAGGATGATTGTGTTGCTTCTTGCTAAGTATTTTGTAGAGCCCTCTCGACCTGTGGTCTTCTTCCCGAGGCCAATTCTCTGGCGGATAGACATGTCAGGAGATTGCATGAGGCAGCAGAAGACGGACTAGAATCACGACCAAGATTTGAAGTAGAAGCAAGGGTGGATCACGGAGAAGACAAAGAAGCGACTGAAAAAGAAACTGCATCTCAGATTGTACAGACATCGAACACATCATCAACAGACCGCTGGACCATCCACCATCGGAGAGACTCTCTTTTGCAACTTCCCGACTGCACATCACGGAGATGTTCATGTGCTTGTCATCGAACCCACGAGTTGTCTTCGCGATTCTGGAGGCTGAAATACACACCAGCCCTGCCTTTCTCTCGGCAGTGTGACCAGCCTGGGTGTACTGCCACAGAGTACAACACAACTCTGAGATTAGCATTGTCCCAGTTCGGTCTTGCCTGGGCTCTAAACCTTGGAATGAGCGTGACAAAGTCTGCAATAAAGCTCACAGTTTCTCCGATCCTCGAATTGGAGCAGACAGTCCCATATACTGCCCCTGGCTTCGAGATCATCGCCCGACTTCGGTACGATGGAATGAGCTACCAGCAAGCGCGACAAGCATTTATCCATCTATTCAAAACAGTACCAAACCTCAAGAATCATGTCGATCCCAGCGGCAAGTCATACATTCAAGTAGAGCAAGCCTAAATCTGGTTTAAATTAGGTGGGAAATGCTGACTGGAATAGGTACTCTTGGAGTCTGTTTGGTCAGCCAACGATCAGCTGAACCTTCTAGAGCTGCTTATGGGGGAATTTGAAATTACTCGCGGGAGGGACGATGTTAGGTGAGCAGAGTTCGTCCTTATACTCTTATCTGCTAAGCCTCATGATCTAATTGCAACTCAAGGTTTTTGACGCAATGTGCGACCTGGATCGGAGAAGGGCCGCATATGCCGCTGCTCAACGAACTCTTGGACTACGGCTTTGATGTGAACAGACTCAGCTGTCCAAGTGTCCTGGACTGGCCTCAACCCTGCTCACCGAATTGGATAAGTGAGGAACTGACTAATGACCCGTTTTTTATCACTTACATCTCCATTTTATGCGAGCAGAGCCAAGGTAGGTCTATATTGAAGCTTTGGGCTAGTTTGGTAATCAGGATTCTGAAATTCTTTCAAGGTTTTGGTGGAATGTCACCACTTCACGAAGCTGTCCTTTTTGGGACCGACGAGACTGTGCAAAAATGGCTTTTGAAGTCAGAACACGATCAGAAGAATTTCCTTGGACAGACACCGCTTCATTTCGCTGCTGCTCAAGGCCGACACCTCGACTCGTTGATTGCATATGGCCACAACTTAGATGCGGTCGACTATCATGGGAACACTCCGCTTATGTACGCGACAGCAATGAATCAAACTGAATCGGTGATGATATTAATTGACTCTGGCGCAAATCCCGGCATCCGCGAGAACAACTACCGCCGTCTGTTCATAGACTATGCTGCTTCTCGCGGCCATTGGCGTTTACTGCTTGATATTATTGACCATATCAGAGCAATAGTAGGGCAAGAACTTACAAATCCGTGGGCAGAGAAGGCAACCGTAACATTTCATCTCTCTTACTTGAAAAGTCGCGTCGATGGAACTGTCTCACTTGGAGACTTTTTATCTAGGTGCTCAAATGCTGATTTCACCTTTCTCATGAGACCTGATCAAGGCGGCACCCAAACTCTACTGCATAATTGCAAGTCCGTTGAGGACATTGAAGAGCTGATATCTGCCGGATTCAAAAACATTGACCAAAGGAACAGCCTTGGCCAAACTGCACTCATGTGTGCCATTTCAGAACAGGTGTCTGCAGCGGTTGTATTGAAACTCATCCAAGCTGGTGCCGATGTCAATCTCAAGGATGAGAAAGGCTGCGCCGTTCTACAATATGCGCTTCGAAACGTCAGCTTTTCCTTCCACTACCATCCGAATGAAGGCATGGAAATCTTAAGCATCCTCCTGCGCCAGGGCGCTGAACTCTATCCCAAGCAGAACTGCAGATGTCCATGTTCGCCTGATGGGCTCGCGCCAGACATTGAGCTTAACACAGATAGCGACTTCACTCATTTTTGGGGGCCACCCGAAGCTCCTATCTGGTGGTTGGAATGGATCACGCAAATATATGAAACTCGAGGTGAAGATGATGCCCGGACGACGCTCCTTGCAATTATCCGAAGGCTCAAACACAAGCAGCAGGACGTGAGCCATGTTTGTTGTCCCATGAGTTTGAAAAGGGGCTTCTTCTGGGACCATCTAAAGAGTATGGCGGATGTGCTCCAGATTAGTGAAGAGGATATCGATGATATCTTAGAAGAGGAATCGGAGTTTATTGAGTCGTTGGAGGAGGAGATCAGATTGGTCTCTAATTTCGACTACCACACTTTGATGAACGAGCTCATCTTATGTTTAAAAACAGCAATAGATGGCGTGAAAAGGAAGCGCGACGCCCAAGCGAAGGCGGTACTGCGACCGAAGCTCGGGAGAGAGGTGAGTACTCATGTATGGTCTATCTCAAGTATAGTTGTTAACGAGTTAGAAGGGGTTCAAAATAGACCGGAAGAACGACCGTTTTATTCCGGCCCCCATTGGAACTGTTTGGGCTCCCTATGAAGGCCATTCCTATGGAACGAGTGAGCTTTCGGCATATGTCTCCTGGTTGGCACATCAGGGGTTCTATGGTGGACCAGCTGTGCTCGCAGAGCCGGCACAAGAGCAATGGCTCTTTAGACGGATTTCATGGATCCGTTTGCTTTTGAATGCTTTCGAAATATCGCTTGAGGATATCTTTCAAAAGGTAAATGAAGAAGACGAGCCCGGGGCAGGATTGAAAGACAAGAGAGCAGGGAAGCATCTCCGATCTTTATGGGCAAAGTATCCAACAAAGTCGTGACATGCATATTCTTCTTCCATAGGATATTGATATACATTCAAGCTCGCCTGCTATCCACATTCTATTGCTTCCCCACTTTCATAGCCCTACTTATCTCTGAGCCTTGGTTAAGCGACCTCAATCCAGAATGACGAAAGTAACAAGAGTAACATTGAAAGACAGCCCCGGGAAAAAGGCCAGTTGTAACTTGTCCCTCTTTGACCAAGACCGACGCTAGGGACGGAGACTCTAACTATTCCATCTTAAGCGTGAAATAAGCATAAGCTGCCATTGATGAAAAGGACAATGTGCTAGCGATTCGCGGAAATACGTGGCATCGATCGTATTTGTCGTGTTGTGAGATCCCTGTCCCAGGAAGCTGAGAGGGGACCACAATCCAGCCGCAATGTAACGCGGGTCTTACAAGGAGCTATTGTGGGCGGGAGGAATGCGTTAGAAGGAGTAAATGGTGTCTACTGTTGTAAACTCTACATCTGGGTCTCAATATTGCGACTGGAGCTCTTAGCGAGCTACTTCCCGTGGACTCGTCAGGCTTGATAAGGTCATCACTAGATGATATGGGCACTATGATATACTTGTTGGAGTGTGCCAGGAACAGAGCCACATAGCTTCGTGGTTTCATCGTGGGTTGCAGCAGCCACACCAAGTGAGATAGGGCAGCAGTAGGGCTGCAGCAGGTTCCTTGGCGTGGCTGTCAACCGTTGGGGTTCACGTATGTGCCTGCCTTACTGCGACTGTTCTTTCCTAGTTTGTCCAGATATTGGAGTGGTTTTTGTATGATCCTTGCTTCGTGATGGCTTCTTCAATCCATCATTTAGCCCCATTCATAAGCGCATTGGCGATGGAAACCAACAAGCATGTTCCTCAGCCCAAACCCACCAGATCTTACTGGGCTCTAGCGGGTTTCATCTCGCGCCAAAAAGCAACTTGGTTGGGGAATGAATTTCATTTATGCCTCAAGTCGGTAGACGGAGAATAAGAACTTGGCAAGCTTGCCTTCTGCTGACCCTGCCGATGCAACCCACCCCCCTTCGCCCTGTCGACCAGGAATAGTACTAGACGCATTAACACCAGGGCTTGACCCTGTAACAACCAGGAGAAAACCCCAACAGGCTGGGTGATACCTTTCCAGATTGGGTATGCGGTGCGGTGCGGTATCAAGGAAACCTGGAGTTGTCTTGGCGAATGAATGTTGCTAGGCAGTATTTTGCGGAGAGATCTTCTCTATTAAAGAAGTGGTAGGCCGGGAGCTTGTGAGCTCCGAGTTGTCTCCTCTTCTGGTTTCTCTGTAACCTCATCTTGCCTCTCTTCAGCCCACAAGATCTGACACCTACTCGACGCCTGGCTGCCTGATCCAAACATCTTCCACCATGCAGTCTTTAACAGTACTAGCTTTGCTCTTAGGCATGGCCTTTGCAGACGATGCTTGCGATTACAACTCAAAAGTCGGTTCAAACAAGCCAGCCCCTTGCATCAGGCCTACCTACAAAACAGAAACCGAGTTCACCTTCGACCCATTGCTGCCCGAGACCTCCAAGTTCGTCTACGCATTCGACAATGTCACGTACGACGACTGGAATGAATTGAAGAGTAGAGACAAATATGCGACGGCGCGCGCATGGTGAATCGAGTACAGCTCCATCAAGCCCAACAACACCCTCACTCGTCCACACTACACCACGGTTCTCACCACATATGTCAACGGCACGGGGCCAACTGGGGGTAGCAATAACGGATGCGAGAACGTCTTGGGGAAAACGTGCATTGATAAGATTAATGAAGCCATCGAAACTCTTTTCACGTCCAAGGAGGGCATTCTAGAGACTATTTCCGACCTTGCTCTGGCTTACAAGAATAAGCTTCTCCGAGACGCCTACCCAACGGATTTGTTTAGCGAATATAGCAAAATCCAAGGAAGAGATGGAACCGTAAACCAACTTCAGGGATCTTCATCATGTAAGATGCACCTTCACTGGAAATCGCTATACTTGCTAACAAGTCACTCTTTCTCATACAGACCTCGCCATTGAATACAATGACACGGATAAGTTTTCGACTGTTAAAAGCGGTGTGAATCCGTCGGGTAACTCTTCTTGGACCTACTACGACCAGAACAACAAGACTGCCGTTACCTTCATCAACCGACAGCCCTCCAAGGAATACAACAAGAACTACACAAAGGACCAGATACAATTCACTATGCTTTGCACTAGAATTTCGCAAGATGACATCGACAAGGTCACGGGCGGCTCGAGCAACAGCGGGGGTAATTCTGATAACAGTCTCGAACAATAACTCGAACAGCGACAAAGGCGGAGCAGGAAGTGTAACAGGTGTACCAATGGTCGCTACGTTGGTCGTGTCTCTGGCAGCGCTTTTTTGGTTGGGAGGCCTGTAATAGGTCAGCGCGATGTTCTGGGATGCCTTTGATGACCTGCGGTTGAGCGTTTTAAAGTGATATAAACGAGCAAGAATGTGGAACATTAACTCGTCGAGGCGATTGACTTTTCATATTTGTCATTTGATTCTAAAGCATAAGCCAGGAGAAGATCTTGATTTTCTATTCCAATCACCATCCTATATTATGTCTTATCTAGTGTTGAACATACATGAGAAAATAAAGAACAGGAGTACTATTTCTATCAAGTGGATAGAGGCTAATAACTGTGCCTAAATTGAATGTTTCTGGAGTTATTGAGTATATTCGTCAAGGCTACGGTATATCATCCATGTGTCGACTAAAGTAAGAGAAGAATTGGGAAGAATTATACCGAAATCTTGAAAAGACTATCTTTATGAGTTCGTTCTATCATGCACCGACTGGTTGAAGTTGGGGGTTTGATGGCATCATAGTTCACGTAAGGTTACATATGACCTGAAGCATTAGAACCAGGTTTGTAAGTCAGTTATATATTTCGATAAACCATAGCATATAGTCTTCATCTCATTTTGGCATTCTTGATATTCTATATTGCACGGGGTTAAACTAACCCTCGTGTTTACGTCAATATGTATAAGCCCTCACGGATCCCTGCTGCCACTCAATTCCGTTACGCCCATCTTTGAAGCTGCTTCATACGAGTCAAACGCCTGATCACCTTGGAAGTGCCATCCGTTCTGAGGACCGCCAGACAAATGGCTAGTATCGCTGTTCAGTTCACAATCCCATCCTCCAGCCACGCCTCCGTGGTTGCGCCAGTTGTCGCTGAAGTATGCTTCACCCGCAGCGGGGATCTTCTTGCGCACGAACTTGCTGATACCAGAGGTGAAACACCCGAAATCTATCTCATCGTAGTCGGCAGGGACATTTCCCGTCAAAGCTCTGCCGCTGGCGATTATGGCTGCTGCATGGCTGCAAAATAGCAGAGTGACTTCTTGATCACTCTTGCCGGCTGCAGCAAATTCGTTGTCAACATCCTCAATCACCAATGCCAATCCCTTTGCAACGCGATCATGCAGCTCGTGGATCTTCTCCCCTTTGTCTGCCGGCGTCAACTTGGGCTTATATTTCTCGTCTACCCAGGGGAAGAACTTGCGCAGCTGGGCTGCATCTCCCGGTTTAGGTTGTACAAACCATGCACGGCCGAACCATTCTCCAACCCCTGTCTCTCCTCTGACTTGAAGGTTATCTAAACCAACTGATGAATCGCCTACGGCGTCTCTGAGCGCGACCACGGAAGGCCGCAGTGTCTCCAGGCAGCGGTAGAAGAGACTGGAGTAGATGCGCAGCCGGCCTTGGTCAGCGTGCTCTTTCAGGTAGTTACTGAGGTGCTTTGCCGTTTCTTCTGACTGGAAAACGCCTCCGGGGGCAAGGGGAGGGTCAGCCGGTAGCCCTGTGGGAAAAGGCTCGCGGGAAGAGTATTCGCCTGTTGCGGGGTTTAATGACCACGGCTGCCGGTCTCCATGGCGAAGCAATAGAATCTGAGTGACGGGCATCTTGTTGATTAATCTTATAGAACTAGACTCAGAAAGTAGATATGAGAGTAAGTTATCAATGGCAGTTGGATTGGTCAAGTGTTGACGTCGAGTGTTACGCATCACAGTCTTGGTGTCGCGGGGTGAATGCCCCTCCCCCTCTTTTGACTACCTCCTACTGTAAGCGGGTAACACAAAGAAAATAAAAATAAAACAACCGGCACAAATAAGTAGAACGTTCACATGGAGTAAAGACCCAGATAATACTTGTCTGCTATAATTGATACACTATCTTTTAATTCACATTAATAATTCACATACAACAATAATTCACATACAACAATAATTCACATACAACAATAATTCATATACAACAATAATCCATATACAACAATAATTCATATACAACAATGATTCACATATAACAATAAAGATATTCCCTTTGTAGGCGAATGTAATTTGAAACATCCGCATGGGTACAGGCCCAATTTCACGACTTAACACTTTATGAAATGAATGCAAGTCTCCTGTCATCGGATGACGAGTCCATCCGATATCGTTGTAGAAGACACTCCCAACACACCTGATCAGCATTCTTAAGAATAACCGTCCTTGCTCCTTGCTGTACGCTCAGCGCAGCTGTTGATAATCGCCCAATCCAATTCTGGGTAGATCGAATGACACAGGGATTTTCTGGTTGATCTAGAAACTCATGCCATGAGTCTATAGATGTTAAACAGGATGTAGGCTGCTTCAATGGACATTTGTGAATGCAGGTGATATCATGAGCGCCCACTCGCTCTAGAATGGGATGATTAAGAGCAGAGAGAACGTCCAAATCCGCCACCCATTCCTTACGGTCAAATATAGAAACGATCGTCTCAATAAAGCTCGCTTCAGCCCCTTGATAGCCATGTTCAGACATTACGGGTAACTCGTAACGTGTGAATGAAAGGTGCAGTGATGTATGCTGAAAGGCATCACTGAGGTAGCCGTCGAAGTCGGTATGATTGATCATAACCCACTGAGATTCGTCCACCTTCCGAACCATTGGAACAACAGGGGGTATCATAAGGCTGATGCCTGGTCTTCCGATGTTGCCGACCACATGTTTTACCTCACTTGGGCCGGGACAGTCAAACGGATCGGTTATTAGTGGCATTGCCACGTATAATGAGTTCCCAGTGGAAATCGCCATCACTCGCTCCAAACTACGGGGGTCCAAATTGATATTGCGAGTCTCAAACATGGCAATGCAAGAGAAGACCTGAGCTCTACTAAGCTCCACTGTTCTAATTTTGCAGTCACGCGGCTCCGGGGGCCTTTCTGGTGATTTGACTTCGTCTCGTTGAGAGCCCCAGCTTGTGTTGGAAAATGGATTCATGAGGTCTATAGTGCGTGTATCCCATTCATTGGGGCTCACAAAACTCCCATGAAACGGGGAGCCCATTTCTTTGAGTTCAATCTCTGGTTTAATCACTGAGGGCGTCTCGCCAGGTTCAGATGGCAACCAGAGTGCCTCCTCTAGTGGCAAAGAGAAGACACCGGTACTGATTGTGGCTCCTGGCATCAGCTCGTATACATTGATAGCGGCCGCCAGTGCTCTCAAAGACTGTACATTCTGGGGAACCTTAGATTGCTGAAATTCGCCAGAAAAGTCCAGAAACTCCACTACCTTGTTTCGATCAAGCCAACCACAACGGAGTATGTTGAGAACCAGCTCTATATCGAGCATTCTGGAACTAGAAATGTTCCTGTCAGCTTGCTTGAATAGTGCGGCGTCTGTAGGATCCCCAATGAGACATTCATATCTGATTTCCTCTGAAAGCTTTGTTTCGTATATAATTCCCTCTGTATCAAAGTCTGTAAATGCTTTCATGATTCCCTCTGGATCAAAGCCAGTATTTATTTCTCCGATTTCCTTCGGATCAAAGCTTGGAGAATGAAGAGGAAGATAGTTAAGAGGAAGTCTCCCTAGTTTCGATTGCCACGTGAACTCTGAATCATGGATATACGTCGTGATAACATCATTGACGTCTTGATATTCTTCCCCGTGTGAATGCTTAGGCCAAGAAGCTACATTCGCCCACCTGATATGCCCAGACAAATCCATCAACGGGTCAAGCTTCCTCTTTTTGCTCATTTCAGTGCTTTTTATTGCCGAAGCATATTCCCATTTGCGTCTGGCGCGAGTAGTACCCTGGTTATCTTTCTTTGGGCAAGCATAACGAATGAGAAGAGAGCTGGGATCAGTGCAGCCTATATTTTGTGCTAAAAGCCTCAATATGGCAACCGCAGTATCTCTATCTTTTGAAAGGCTAATCAAAGTGTCGGCATGGGCCAAGCCCCATAATGGGAGCCATTGACCGCTCAAGCTGCATAGAAAATCCTTATACCGCCGGTGACCGCGCATGACGAGGCTTTGGATTGACTTTTTCTCATTTTCAGAAGCTGACAAGTATTTCTGAGCGGTCTTCGAAAGCATTCTTGTCCAGCTTTCGTGTCCCTTGAGATCATAGCAACCGTTCCGCAATAGAAATTCGTCTAGAACAATAAGGAATTCTGCCGCCATGGAAATGTTTTTGCCGTAAACTCCCCAATTGGAAAGAATAGAGCCAAAGACAACATAATTGAACTCTGAGATGGAGAGCCGTGACGCATGGTCTCCAAAGATCCTGGATGTCGTAACAGGATCTCCGTAGTATTTGAGGTAGGCAAGCGGGAGTGACCAGAACGGCTTATCGTCTGAGCGAGCAGAGTAACTCGTCTGTCCAAGGGTAACCATCCCACCAGCAGGCACCAATGGGTCATTCTGAACAACCCGGTCAGGTCCGGCGCCCAAGACAAACATGTCGGGGTATAGATGCCAGGAGCTCAGAGCAAGAAGAGCAGATCCATCCTTGATGCTTTGAGGTATACCGCTCGCAATGTTTTCCATCGCGGTGAGTGCGGTTGTCCATGCTTTCAGAACACTAGTGTAAGTGTCGGATTCATCATTAATTGGTATCCCGGCGTTCTCAATGAGTAGGAGAAGCTGCCTCTGTTGACGCAGTTTTGACTTATCAGCAACTTCGAGCCAAGCTCGTGCGCTGCTGTCCCAGCCAGAAATTTGAGACTCTGTGAGGTCGATCTGCGCCGCAAAGTGCGCCGCAGGTTTCATCGGGTCCGATACGTCAATCTTAGATAGTATATCTTTCCTGGCCTGGATTATCTCCTTCCAAATAGCCACGGCCTCCGATGAGCTCCAGATCCTTGCCAACATGCATGCAAGGAGGTGGGCCGAGATGGCACCAGAACCAGAAGTCGCAGCAGCCCAGATACTCGTTGCGTCAGGCCCAAGCCAATTGCTGAACAAGCCCCTGTTATTAGACCCTTTTGCCGTGTCGTTGGATACCTCTTGCACGATCTCCGATACCCTGTTACCATATATTCGTACCAGGTTAGGAGTGGGTGGAAGGGCCTGTGAGAACAGGGCAGCAAGCTTGCGTGCGAATATGTGCTCGTTGCCACTTTCGGCCGCGTTTAGACGATTTTTCGTAAGGCATTTACCCAAGGCTTGATATTCAGCAGGGGCTTCAACTTTGTACAGGGCAAAGTCAAAGTTAAGGTTGGCGAGCGTCAATGTTGTTTCTTGCGTTGCCCCGAAAAGAGAGCTATTGATTTTGCCAATTGAAGACATTGAACGTGGCAGCGAATAAAACACTGCCAAGAGGGATAAAATCTAGCTCTTTTTGGGGGTCTAGAGGCTAATAAGAGAACAATACATATGTTATTGTCGGATACCACGAAATGATTGTACATTACACTCGTGGTAGGTTATGCCTGCTAAAGCTAGGTTAGAAAATGAAGTTAGGGAGACAACATTAATCCCTATAAAGAAACAGTAGGGGAACGACCAGCCTATGTAAAGGGGCTGTGCAATGTATTGGCACTTCATATTGCTACCCAAGGTGCAGATTGGTGGCATGATGGCTGCCTGACGTGGCCTTGAGTCAGCCAGGGTATGCACACCTACTTGTGAGCTGTTGTTGAGTTGTGGCTAAGCGAAGACGGCGGGGTAAAGAGTCCGGACAACGTAGACTCCAGTCAAACCGGATGGGTTTTTATATCAATCATGTTCTTTTCGGGCGGAAAAGCCCACTCAGCAATATGCTCTCCCAACAAAATAACTATAGCCTAGTAAACTTTAATCTAGGTTTGTTCTAACTTAATATTAGCTTCGGTCTTTCTTAGATTATATAGTCTTTAGTAAGTTTTAAGAATAGAAGTAGATATAAAACATACGTTTGCCCCCACTCCGAACCCAATGTGTTTCCATCTGCAAGTTCTCCAAAAAGCCAATGCGAGCTTTCAACTTCAGTGCAAAGCGACCGTTCCAAGACCCACGTCTAAGTTTGATTCAATATGGCGAAGTATTATCATTCTGCGTCAGCTAGCCCTGATGATGGGCATGAGAATAGCAGAAATGATGGTGTCGATGAGTTAACAACTACGTCTGTGATAGGGCATCTGCCGCTACTACCGGACTATTTTGGTTTATCCCACCAAAACTCTGGTGTTACACTGATCGCAATTGATTTCGAACACATCGAAAACATTGGTTCAGAACTATCGCCTAACTTTGAAGTAGGACTGGCGATCCTCGATATTAGGAATATCAATTCTGCTGAAGGAAATCAAGCAATATCGACATATAATTTCATTACTGGAGATCCTGTGTACCAGCAACGCGCTTCCCAAAGATTTCTCTTTGGGAAGTCTGTCATTCTTGATCCTACTGAGATAAAAGGACACATTCAATCGTTGATTCCCTGGGGAAGACAAGCGATTTTTATTGGCCATGATATCATCAATGACTTACGGGCTCTCGACAAACTCCAGCTGAACTATGCTGGCATTGGCACTCTCGATACTTTCCACATTTCAAGGAATATATACCCTCACCCCCTCACTCTTCGCCGCCTTCTGCTTAAACTAGACTTGCCATACTCGCGCCTTCACTGCGGAGGGAATGACGCCAACTTTACTCTTAGGGCTCTCCTACTTCTAGCAGTCAATATATACACAAACCAGCCGGGAATTTGCCAAGAGAAGCTGGCTATCATGAAACAAATTGCGCTTTCTCCACTTCCTCAAGCTCCATGCGGCAAACCAGCTCCTCCTATTCATCAAGCTCCGCCTGTTAGTCGAGCCTCAGAGAGAAGAACGCGGTGGCGAATGAACAGTCGAAAGTATCAATCCAAAAGCTGGGATTTAGAGACACAAGAGAGAATCCGAGCTGAGCGTGCAGTAAAAAGGCAGGTGGCTGCTATAACGATTAAATTCAGAGCTCCTAACTAGCGAGCCCCTTTTATCCTCCTTCATTTACGGTCGGAACCTTCCTCTAGCTCATGGGTTGCGCTTGTTCTCCCCTCGGCATCTTGCAGGCTTACGATAGTTACCATAATGCCTCAGCTCTTGCTGCAACGCAGAGGAGACGCTCTAACCGTCACTACCCACTACCTCTTCGCGTGTGGCAGCTACTACACCCTCTACATCCATAATTGGGTCTACTGCTACTTTACTGAGCTTGACAAAAAGCTCGACTGGATTAACAGCATTATCCAGACTATTCTCAGCGACAAATCTCTAGAATCAACTACATTAAGGCTATAAAAGCAAAAGTTCAAGCTCCCCGTATAAGCCAGCCCTTTGAAGATGGGCAAAACCAATTTCAACTGATCGATCTTTGCAGTCCCTCCTCGCTCGCATCAACCTCGCATCACGTCATCATGCTCGTATCATTGGGAAGACCTGGCAAAGACGGCTGTGTGTACATCGCGCTCCATGTATGCTTGGTTAGATGCACGATATTTCAACCTCCGATATCAGAGGAGTTTAGTCTCCTAGAGCAATTTGGGAGAATCATACCCTTAGGCTACCAGACTAAGAAATATCATTTCTTGGAAGCACAGGCTATAAATATGTACTCTGGCGGAGTTGATAGGGATGGGGCACATACTTGTTCATAGTTTTATGTTGCCCCCCACTTACTTCGGTTGCATAGGGAGCATTGTTCATGTCAATAACCTCCCCCAATGAATTGCCCATGTCTTAAATACCAGGAGTGATCTTCTCATACCCAAGTTGCAATTGCCAAAGCACGATGGAGTGTAGAATCGGCCCATAGTTCCCCCGCACTTGATGTTGGGTGTCTGGGTCTTAGATCAGCAATCTGTCGAGGCGTCCAATTAGTAGATGACACGATATCCAAGCATTGAGGGCAGACATTATGTCGCCATGTGGCACAGGAATCGGGTTCTGAGGCTGAAAATCATCAGAACAAGGCTTTGGTTATTTGGTGATTGTCTCTGCCTTGCACTACTGCGTCGGTTAGGCTCTCCGGCGTTGGACGTGGCCACATCGCAGCGAGATCATGCGATTAGGAGCCGTTCGTGTTGCTTTTTTTTATATTTGAGGCTCTAACCATGGATACGTTTAACTGCATATGTAAGGTCTTTGCTACTCTGCTCAGCACAGTTGCCCATAATTTGCCTGACTGGGAATCAGCTATATGAACTGACACTGACGCTTTTAGAGTATTAATATCAGCTGAGGTCGGCTGACGGCCCATTTTTGATGGCTTAAATTGTATTGCCCGAGCCCGTAGCACGGTCACATATTATCTAGCGAGAGATATCGTATTATTTTATGTAATGGAAAGTCCAAGCCCTCAGTTGTCTTATCGTGATATTGAGATATGCTTCTTTTATGTATATTGCAAGCATAAATACAGACATAATTTGTCGTAGTCCTGGGGCTTAACTCATGACGGAGCTTGCCACATATAATATGACAAGTTTCTTTTTCTCTCGCTGCCTAAGTCAAGCTGAAAAACTAAGAGCCAACTAGTTTAAGCTACATATTTAAGAATAAGCATAGCGTCAGTAGTCTAATGCGACAATATTCAGCCGCAAGCAGTAGTGACGCAAGGGTAAGCAGCCACGTAAGAAGGATTCGCCCCACCGCAAGCACATCCAGGTTGGACGGTGAGCCTAAAGACACATTCAAGAATTCATTGATGGTGGTAAGAATTCTAAGTTTTTTGAATCTTGATACGTGGTAAGATGGTGTCAGCTAAGGCGACACACCGGTTCCCATTGAGTGGTTCGATATCAGCTTATGAGTCCTCAAGACAGCCTTGTGGTCGGACATGGATCCTTGATGTGACAGCTCACAAACCTTGTGGGCTGTACAAGTTATTATTATGACACTGTATGAAACATGGTTTGTTGGTCGAAAAAGGGATCAAACAGATCTAGAGAAACACGGGGCCTTGATCAGCACCTTGCCAAGGACAGTCTTGCAGTGTACGGGATCTATCCCATTTCCTAATCTCACAGCCTATAAGGAATGACGTCCTTGATATGGAACACCTGAAAATATGCACCCGCGGACCCGCGTCCGTCAGTTTGCATGCGCCACCAATATGACCCTTGCATTTTTAGATCTCCATAAGATTTGGAGGTTAGCCTGTTGATGATCCTCGTGCCGCAGCAGCATGTAGGTGAGTGGCGTTATGGTCACCAACAAGAAATGAGATGGGGGCAAGGGCTAGAACTTAGATGGGAATAGGGTACGGCGGCTCCCCCCCAGACGATGGCAGTCTGCGGTTCTGTTTTTCTTTAAACTTTCCTATCACCTCATCTTAACATAAGCTCCGGGATACACTGAGTCGCATCATCTCATCCTTGACCATGACTCGTATACAGCAGCGGCTAGATAGCCAAAGCTTGGCGATGCTCTCATTCTTTCTCCTTTTGACGATCAACTGGGTCACTGCTGCTACTCCGAAAGACGATTTCTGTCGAAGATTCGAGCACCAGTCTACGGTTATTGATGACAAGCTGTACATTGATGGTGGAACTGTCAACTATAAAGACTTTTCATCATCGCATGAGAACCATGACAGTAAGTCGAAACTCCCTTGCGTTGACCATTTCTATTTTACCGCTACGCCAAGATGCTGTGATTTAACTTCGGGAAATAGATACTTGGCTGGGATATCATGATCTCAGTGATCTTGTGTCCATTAAGGGGGAACTTTGGCCGAACTTCAAGATTGGATTGAACAAAAACGATAGGTACCAAACTCCCAGTAGCGGTCCGTAGCATTACCGCTCACCAAGTGGCCACCTAGTATTCCAACAGTGTCTGGCGGCGTTCTGTGGCCCGATTCTGTCAACAAGCGATTCTACCTCTACGGCGGCGAGCACATGTCCGGCTTCCCAAAACGATCCTACCGTATCCTAAGCTACGACATTCTAAATGATCAATGGGATGATTTTGGGGAGCCTAATACCAGTCCAGCGCCCGAGATCGCTAGCTTTGGCGCTGGTGTTGGAGTATCGGAGACAGGCATGGGATATTATTATGGAGGATGGGTAAGCAACAGGTCGATGAATGGATGGACGAAAGACAAAACAATGTCATCGAACTTTTACTCTTACTCATATGACAGGGGAAAATTCGATCGGATGCAGTCTCCAGACGATCACGCGAGAGCCGAGGGAGGGATGGTATGGCTTCCGGCTGGCGATACGTCTGGAGTGCTGGTATACATGGGTGGTCTAGTCACCCCATACGACAACGGCACGACAGCTCCCCAACCCCTGGACGAAATCTTCATATATGACGCACAAGACAACCGCTGGTCAAAGCAAAAGGCCGTTGGGGAAGTTCCTCAGCACAGACGCCGATTTTGTGTCGATGCCGCCTGGGCACCTGATAAATCCAGCTTCAACATGTAGGTCTTCTGTCTCTTGAAAGCAGATCGAAAATTCTCTAACAGGATTGCACACTAGTTACCTCTGGGGAGGACACTCAATCTACCCTCCTGTGACCAATGTCACTTCATATAGTGATATTTACGTTCTGACCTTGCCGAGTTTCCAATGGGTGAAGGCGTTCCCGGATACGAGCGGTAATTATACCCTGCCAGAGAATGGCAAATATGGCTCAAGCTGTAACATGGTCAAGAACATGTCGCAGTTTATAGTCATTGGTGGCAATTACACGGATTCCCCTAAGGACAAGTGTGATGATGAGTGGTGGGGAGCGCATAACCTTTGGACTGGCACGTTCCAAAACGCAGGGAACAGCGACAAGTGGTGGGCTCTATTCAACTCCGAGGTCAATACCAATGTCGTCCCCAAAATCGTCTACGACGTAGTTGGAGGAACAAAGGATGGGGGTGCCACGGCCAAGCAGCCCAAGAATGGATATGACTCAGGAAACACTCTGCTGTCTATGCTCATGTCCCGCACAGCTTCGCCACCTGAGCGCAAACCAACTCGTCAAGTCAATGCAACAAGCTCCCCGAGCCCAGGGAATGGCGGTTCATCTAAGCTTGGTACCGGGCCTATCGTTGGAATCGTGGTTGGTTGTGCCGTGGCAGTGGGAATCATCTTGTTCGCATGGTGGCGTGTTGGAAAGGTCGTTGTGACACGTCGTAAGGAGCGGCGCCAGCGTGAGATGGAGCAGTATGCCCAACGGATACAGCAGCAAGCACAAGAACAGGCCCATCTAAACCCACATCAGTCTTTATACGGAGCCAGTACCGTGGGCACCATTAGCCCGAACCCCCCTTCCACACAATGGGGCGTTCCTGGGAACCACATCCAATTTGAGCCTTCAGAGTTGCCCGCTTACAATCAAGGCATCGGTATCTTGAACAACAAACCACCGGGATCCCCTCCTGGCCATCCCTTGCGCTAAGATACGCATATCAACGTCTACTTCCCTTATGTACCTTTGAGGGTTGACTGGCGTAAGAAATTTACCTATGTGGTGCCGCCTTGACTTTACGGTGGCTTTTGGCTTAATCGATATGTTTGCTAAGACGTTTTAGCGCAAGCTTGCAACCTTTTTCACCTTGACAAGACAGTTATGAAGATTTCTCGCAGTTGGCATGGAAAGCATGGAAGATGTTAACCTTTATCCACCGGAAGGATACTGCTTTGCTTAGATTAAACTTGTAACTGGGGCTGATTTAGATCCAGATATTACAAATCTACTTGTGATTATAAGCCTAGATGCTGCACTGAATACAGTGTGATGCGATGTAGTTATTGTGAATTCTTTACATAACACTTTGCAAGAATGACAACAATATTCGAAGGCCTATCGTGTCAGGAAGGGAACTCTGAGCAGAAAGGTTCACCAAGTTTGGCTTGCGAATAAGTTTTCTATGCCCGGGTCAAGGTGTTTGGTTAGAGCTTGACATGTTGGAACAAAATGGCCATAGGTTCTCGAAAGATCCCTAAACTTTACTTTCCACATTCTTCTCTCCTATGCCAACGGTCTCGGTAAGGATTATGCTTGGAGATTGTGTGGCGCGCGGATCACAACGAATGAAAGCGGAATATGATAACATCGAGTTATCTTAAGCCTCAAAAAGTGCCTCGGCACAGATCACAAACAAAAGCCAAGACGCCACTTTCCATCTCTGGTGTAATAAATCCAAAAACACTATCACCACAGTGGTTACATCTAACTGGCCGCCAAAATCCCTGATCAATTTTGTTCTGGTACTCTCCTGCAGTGGGGCTTTTCCCTCGCCCGTTAGCTAATTCCCCGGCACACTGTTTCAACACTCTGGCGGTGAACTGTTTGTCCCATTCTGATATATCGAAATCAGATTCATCGACGAGGTCGCCGAGGTGATGAGTGGCAGTTGTGGCGAGGAAGTCATGCAAGTTTTCATCACCCGCCTTGTACAACGCAGCCTTGATAATGGCTGGGTATAGCTTAGACCTCCAATCGTTAGAGAAAAGTGTTTCAAGTTTGGTGATCGATGCCTTCTGGAGGTCTGGAATGTCATAATAGTCGCCAGCAGCGTTAACATGAATATGACAGAGAACTGTCTTCAGATAACTCTCATTGTTGAGTATTGACATACTGTCACACTTTGGTTTTTCTTTGGGATAAGAAAAGCCCACACCCCCTAATGATCTCTCGTCCCCGTACAGCGAAAGGCTGGCCAAATCGGACAGCACAACTTCATAGTCCCCCTTGTAGAGAAAATCTACCATGTATTTAATGATCGGGGAATGGAACTCTCTCACTTTTAAAACAGCTGTCTTTGCTTCCTGTCTTTCGTTAGCACCTCGCTACAGAGCTTGTGGTTTGGAGCAACTGCTACACCATACCTGGAAGTCCCCTTCAAGTGCTCTGCGAATCATTCTCGATTGGAGACAAACGACGCTTTTATGGAGTTTGAACTCCCTGTCTCCGGAGATCATGGTAAAATCGCTGAAGTTGCCGGTCTCCAAGAGACAGGAGAGTATATCTGAGGCTCTGCTGGCCATCGTAGATGTCTCGTGACGGATAACCTTCCCAGGTCTTTTATTGGGGACTTTACGCCATAATCACGGAGTTATATAGGCGGAAGTTAGTTGAATAAATTAAGAAACGATGAATAAGGGCAGGCGCGTCACCCTACCTTTTAAGATTCTGAAGTGTGAGACACTGTCTTTTCTTTGATTTGGAGTTTTAGATTACTAATGTTCAAAACTCAGAAGCAATCACTCGCTCCCTTTTTTCCTTTCTGATATCCTCCCTTCAACTACAGGATATCTGAGACGCGTAGTCACACGAATGGTTCTAACTAGTGTTCCAATAAGCGGTTACAGTTGGAAGGGACTGCAATGCCAGCTTGAATAGTGTTGGTAGGTCTCGGCACGATGATTTGGCAAGTCAAGGAATTTATGTTTAGCAACTGATAGCTTCAACTACGCTTGGAACCCACTGAGACATCACGCACTTGTAGTACTCATGGTGTGTAGTAAATCAATACATTTATTAATTAATTCTTAACCCATAACTCATTGAAGCTGTTGAAAGCTTCTCTTAGATGTGGATGAGAAGCCCTAGGGAACATTTTGTCCAATGCTGGACACGATACCTTTGAGTAGACTTCCTATCATCCGAACAGAAATGCAGATACTTTTTCATAATGAAATCCCCCCCCGTATTCGCAGCACTAAAATCCCTATTTACATAAAGCTGTCTTCCTATGCCATGAGGCAGGGAATTGACCCAGCTTTAGCAGTTAAATTAGCCCATGGTATCTTCCCAAGCCAAGCATAAAAGACGTAAACAGCGCCATGAATCCAATGACACCAAAGAATGGTCCAAGGTTATCACGGTCTACCGTTCCAAGAGGAACAGGTATGTTCATACCAAAAACGGCTCCGACTAGATTGAGAGGGACCAGAATGGAGGCAAGGAGCGTGATTTTATTCAGCATCTTGTTCGTGTTGTTCCCCTGGGAGATACTCATAACAGAAACCGTGGCGAGGTAATTGCTGTGTGCACGCGCAAGAATCTGCTCGAAATGAATGATGTTGGTTGTCATAGTAACAACATGGTCTTGAATATCGCTGAGATATATTCCAATGTCAGTATGGGGCGCATTGGGATAGTCTTCATTGCAGCGCTTGGTGAAGCTGCGAAGTACATCGGCCTTGCCTCCTATCAGGCGGATGAGCGCCATACAATTCTTTCGCGCCAATCCAATGCGTCTGAGAAACTCGCTTGAGTCACGGTCTCGCATCAAGAAGACGCTGTCGTCGATAGAGTCTACCTCTCGTTCAAGCTGGCGTATCACAGGTCCAAAGTCGTCAACGATGTTGTCACTAATTGTCATTTGAGTGTCAATCATTCTCGTGAAGACCCTTTTTCGTGGGATGACTTACATCAGAGCATAGCAGATCCAATCGCTGCTGAGTGAGATATATTCCTTGAGAGTGGTAATTTTCCGGCGGACAGAGGTTGCATGTGGATTCGGCATGAAGCTGAAGCTCAATACACCTTCCCGGAACACAATAACATACATGTTGAAACCTTCATACTCCAGATTCTCGCCAGACTTCACTGTATGGAAAGACTGAAAAGAGGCAAAATAGTAAGAACTGACAAGCTCAATCTTTTCTCGCGCTTCACGCGTGATGATATCTTCCACAGTCAGGGGGTGAATTCCGAAAGCTTGACACAGCCCCTGGACCTCTTCTTTGGTTGGGTTATTGCAATTGAGCCACCACACACAGTGCTCATTCCGAGGATGTTCAAATAGACTCTTGAGGCTCTCGCCATCCTGGACCAAATTGGCTAGTTCGGAAGCATGAACAGTGGACTCCCAAACAGTCGAAAAGAAACTAAAGCGGTTCAGGTCAAGTGCCCGACCTCCTTTCTGAATCTTGTGAAGCTTGTCGGAGTCAGGATCAACTGGCGAGACAACAACAACATCATCAGCTAACCCGGGAATGGTATTATCATTTTGCATGGGAGCGTTCTGGTGTGATGCCCGCTCAGTCTGTATGAACTGTTCGAGGAACTCGAAATCGATGTATAGATCTTCCTTGGAGCTTTCGGAATGGTCATTGTTGTTATTTTCACCACTAATTCCGGCCTCGGTGGGATCCACTACTTCCCCTTTCTGCTCTTCGTTGTAGCTGCGGTTCAGATTGCTTCCTGGTCTATATTCGCCTGTCAGGGGCTTGCTACTGTGGCTTCGGTTCGACACAGACGCAGCTCGGGTTACACTTTCTTCAGGATCCAAATCAAATTCTGCTCCTAGTTCTCGACGCGGGCGACGTCGGGCGGAGGCAAAAGCCTTGATTGAAGAGGGAGGAGAGGCGGGCCTCTCCTCCTCCGCAGACCTCCCACTCCCTCGGTGGGAGCGGACGTTTGTAGAATCAACATTTGCGTTAGATTCATCGCCATTGATAGTCGCAACTTCTTCGAAATCTTCAATGTGAATGGAAGGCCTATTGAGAAGGCCGAGGGGATAATCTAAATCGCCATCGGGGTTGGTATGCCCAGGGAGACACTGGGGTGAGTCTGGCGCAGACGCAGCGAGGTTGTGTTCCATTTTGACAAGTATTTTCCCAAAATGAAACACAGCCTTGAGCACAATCCAATCAACCGTTTGGAGGGCACTTATCTAGTATCGTTAAATAGAGTGCCAGCAGAATGGTTAATGAGGGATTGTGAAGTCTCGGACGATTTCAAGCAAGCCGTCGCTTGGAAATGGTCAATATGGTGATACTTTCTTGCTTGAGCGAGAATTCTTTCATGAGTTGATGCTGAGAAACATTGATTGAGAGATGCTACTCTGTTGGCCAACTGAGGAGATAAGACCCTGACCCAAGATACGGACAGCAAGCCCTACGGCGGAGCCTATCACCCAGTCACGAAGATCCTCGTATGTACGCTGAGGCTAAAAGAGCGGTCTTTGTGTCTTCAGTGTGTTAGATATGTATGTCTTGCTACGAGACATGCGTGTTGCGTGACGAGAACGACCATCATGATGCTTCTCATCACCAATCAAGCTATCCATGCCCTTTAGGGTCGTGTGAGCAATTAACTAAACTGTCCCGGGCGTTGCTTCTATGCATTACGTGGCGACTCTAAGCTCAGCGACACGTCATATTGGTATTGTTCCGCGACCCGAAAGCTGGGAGAACAAAGTAGCGGTGTCGATTTTCAGCTACCACAAGCGTAGAGGCTAAGAATATAAGCGCATATATCCATGGGAAGCGCTGGCATAGTCCTCAAAGATATCTCATCATGAATACAAAAGAATAGCCCATTGTTGAGCGCATTTCCAAGACCGATTCCTTGTGACAAAGAACTCTATCTTAATATAGCAGGGAACATCTTATATCTCACACACTGTTTCTGAAGCAAGATGGGCGCTGTGCTGAGACGGTGATGGAAATTTAGTTCACGCATAAGATTGTCTCAGTTTTATGTAAAAGGACAAAGCTGATCGGCCGGCATTATACTCGTATCCATTCCATGCACTTGGAAAAGTGAGAGCGTCCAAGTTGGCACACAGTACAGATCTTGATCTTGGTGAAGATCTCGGCCAAAATGCCTTGGCACTCGGGACGCGCGGCATTTGCTTCATTTTCCAGCGGCCAGCAATATATCGGTCAAACCGAAATGGACGAGTGTCATCTTGGCGCCATGTGTGTTTCAACAAAAAGAATCCATCGGTGGGCCTACTAGATATTTTAGCATGTCTCATGTTGTCTCAGGAGTTAGGAGACTCTTCTCCATTTCTTCCGATTCTATGCTATTCTCGGCATTCTTCTCCAATCCCCCTATCTAGTGACCAAACAAAGCAGGTAGATCAGAATCACGTCTTATGGAAAGGGGAATGAACAACAAGAAGGGCACTTGGTCATAAAATATCTCAGAAAAGCCTGTCCTAGGTTATCTAAGCAAAGCGTAGAAACTGGTTAAGGTTTGTATGTCCTGCGTGACCTAGACACGATGCTAAGGGGTAGAGACAAAATTTTATGTTAATGAATTGATCACACGGCGGATGGTTTAGGTCTATTAGTAAAACAAGACATGTAGGACAATGCTGTTCATGTACCGTGGCTGACAACACCTCATGTTCGCGTGTAAAATATGTGAGACACCAAATTATGCTAGATAGATGATAGGCAAGGCTAATAGCTAAGAAGAATAATCCTCCTCCTCTGCGATCCCATTTGGCTCATCAGTCAATGTTGGAGGTTGAGGCTTCATGAAAGTAAATTCTCCTCCCAGCTTAAACGTAGTTAAAGAAGGGCCCGCGGTAGAATCAAATTGAACTTTCTTGGAGCGAGGTATTCCTAACTTTGTCTCCAACTCCCTGCCGATAGTTTGCTCCAGGAATTGATTGATATCCCAAATCAACTTGGTGTGGATTTTCCTAGCACTGCCCTTGGAAAACAAAGGGGGCATCCAATTCGCATATATCTTGGAATGGGTCGCTGAAAAGGACCATCCTCGTTCATGTCTATGCAGTAATGTAGAACACAGGAAGCAGGCCTTTTTGCTAGTTCCCATAAAGAGAAACCTCGGAGTGAGTTCCATATTGCTGTCATAAAAGCAGGCCAGTTGCATCTCTGCATGTACGATGAGCACGCGCCGTGTTTTGCAAGCTGCACGAAAATGATGGTCTGGATTCTTGAACCAATAAACCCTCAGCTGCGATTTGATATCTTCAACTTCGGCCTTGGTGCATTTTCGGATTATATTACTCAGAGCCTCACGCTCACCGTTGAGGGAGAACTGAGCCTGCGGAGGAGGTTCAACCAACTCAACTCGGATAGGGATAAATAGGTCCGTCCGAGTGGTCGCGAGCTTGATCATCGCTACTAGAGCGGCATGGTAACGCCCCAGCTTATATATATTGTTGATCCAAGCTGGGACAGTTTTGCTCTCAGGAAATGCGATGGTTTGAAGGTGAGCAGAGTACACCCAACGCGCTTGCGCTGCCCAATGCATTTGTTTGATGAGTTCCGCAGTCTTCGTTAGATGACTCAGAGATGACAATGATGGAAGATGTCTCGCCCACTCCAGAAAATCGCCGTGATTGGAAAACTCGCCTGTCTCCAAGCGTTGTATTGCTGCTTGTATAAGTTCTGGGACTTCCTTCTTTTGAAAGATCTCAATTATGCTGTCGATCTTGAATCGGTCCAGCTCGATAATTTTAGACATAATCTCCCAAGCTTTCTGATCGAGAGAGCAATCTAGATCTAAAATTATCATTGGCAAAATTAGCTGGACTTCCGTTAATTCTTCCGCAGGAACAAATTGAAAAGGAAACACAAACCTCCCTTCGCAATCAAACTGAGATCATTTAGCACGTCCTGGAAACGCAATAAAAGGTCCTCTGAGGTGCTAGTATTACGGGCCAACCGCAAGATTGTGCCTGTTGGGCCGCCTTGTTCTATACATACAGCGGAGGCGGTTTCTTTCCCACTCCTCGTGGAGCAAATTAATGCAAATGAATCAAGAAACTTCGCTATCGGGCTTGCATCGTCATGCGGGTGTCTATCAAGACTATAGACTGTCGGTTCGCCTCGAACCGGTTCAATAAGAGAGAGCAAAATTGAATTGAGAACAAATCGTTTGGTCGATTCCTGTGGGGGAACCTGAGCGGCAGTTGGTTGTCCTTGAATGGCCATTGTAATTATGGAAAAATCGGACGTAATGTTTGCTATCAAAAGGGACTGGCGGCCTTCTTCGGAAGCTTTTCGTACTCTTTATATATTCAAAAAGTGCAAGATGCCTAACGCGTAAAAGTGCAGGTGAACATCCACATCCACCCCCTTCAAGTAATAGAGGGCCTCCCGCATGGTCTCACCGCAGACTTGATTGGCCAACTCAGCATCCTTCGAAAGCTCTTTGATATTCTTTGTGAATCTAGAAAGTGCACGGTGCCTAACGCGTAAAAGTGAACATCCGCCTCACTTCTAGAAAGAGAGGGCCTCCCGCATGGTCTGACTGCAGGCCTCTTTAAGCAAGTCGGCATACTGATTCGCTATCTGTTGACCCAACCATAATTCTGCCTCATGTTGGTTTTGGGCTCCGATCGCTTGGGGAAAGTAAATGCCCAACCTACTCGTGGATGTTGGGTTGCTCAATAAAGGTATTTACTGACATCTACTAGCTTCACTGCGTTGCATTGCCCTAGAATACTCCTCTGAGGCCGCAATTTCTGAGGCCGGGGGCATAGATAATTTGGCATAATCCCCTTATTCGGAGTCACCGTAATGTTTCCATCCACATAGAGAGCCCTACATGGCTGAGAATAATTGCCGCTACTTAGTGTCATCTAATCCTAGGTAGGCTCCGTCAACGGGCGTACATTACTCGGCGTCTCCTATCATAGCGTCGCCTGTTCTTTGCTATCCTCCTCTTTGCTGACATCACCGTGAACTCCGGCCTGTGAATTATTGTACTTGATGACTTCCCGACCGGAGGCAAGGTTATGTTCTGTGTCCTCACAGAGCTATTCTTGAATAACCTTTCACAAACTTTGCAACCTTTTCCGCCAAAAGAAAACGTCTGCAGGGGCAAAGATTGGATAGCCTCCTCGTAGTCACCAGTGACAGGAAGCGTCACACATAGTTTGTGCAGCACATCATTGCTACTGCCAGCTTCGGGGCTTGGTTTAGTGGCAACCATGAATATGCAACGTCCATCGACTGTCCGCCCACCGACATCAACTACAATAAGCTCCCCATCTGGCACCTCCTGGTCTGGAGCAAGGACGAGCACTGCATCTATTGCAACAGATAAGCGACGAATCTTGGTGAGATGGGCGATACCATCGTTCATGCCAGGCATTTGACCCATTTGCAATGCCATAAAGTCTTGCCAGATGAGAGTCTGCCTTCCCGGTCGCAACTTCATCTTAAAGCCGTCTTCTCTTCTATGGCGCACTGCGTAGAGTGCTCTTGTCCAATTGTTGAGTAAGGCCTGGGCGATAAGTATAGTTTGCTTCGGATTGTAGCGGCCGGCCCCAAATGCCAAAGCTACTTTGAGAGCTCTCGGCCACCTGCCTAGAGTGAACTGTACTAGAGTAATGTCTCGATGGATGCGGTTCGGAATTGGCTCATGCACTCTACCCAATCGGGCTCCGACACGGCAAATTCCAATCATTCTGCCAGTGAGGGTAACCGTTCCATTCTGAACCTCAATTGGACCAAGTGGTTCGACTTCGTCCAGAGCTGAGCCGGAAGATGCTTTGTGCCTCATGCCAAACAGTACAACGATGCAGTTCCTCGCAATGAGTTGCGGGCTAGATGACAGAGGCTCACTGACAGCAGGCATGAGTAACCATCTCAAGTGTCCTCGGCCAAGCGCCGCTTCAACCCATCTTGCCCAGGCACTCTCCTTTCTCTCTCCTTTGATGGTGGGTATCTCCACGCCCGAGGCAGCCATGACGCCGTACACCTCATCGCATTCTACGGTCGCCTTGCGGTTCCCCAATAATTCCATCACCCGCGTCTTCTCGACCGGGCCGAGTCGGCAATTTGCCATGCCACTAAAGAAGCCATAAAGCTTTGCGAACTCGTCGCCTAGACATTCCTGGATGTCTAGTGTGTCGCAGATACTGGGCAGGGCAGAGAACAACCGGTCATTGAGAACCAAAGATTCAAGATCCTGGCCGATCCAGATAACCCTGCGGGCGAGAATGTACTCTTGCAACGTCCAGACTCTCGTGCTCCAAGAGGTTACCGTCAGCCTCGCCAGTCCCCTCATCGCTTGCGCAATCAGGCCTCGTCCATCGCCGTTTTGCCAGTACGAGCCCTCTGACGCCCACGCTTCATCTGCCTCCATTGAGAGCGCTCCGCCAAGTTGTTCTGTCAATTCATCCACATGGTCTTGACGCATGCCGAGAACGCAGCCAAGGATGATGAGCACAGCTTCTGCGCCTCTGAAAATCTCGCCCATCATCGGGATCTGACGGAGCTTGTCATCCTCGTCATTCTGGTCAATGCAAATCGTGTCCACCCAGCACAAAGTGATGGTAGGGTATCGTTGCTCAATCGTCGCAACCAGAGCGTCGCGCCCAGGGCTGGCGAGGAAGTCGACGCCTGGTGGGAAGAGACGCTCGCTCCAAGCATGGGACGCTGCTATATATGGGGGGTGTGCGGAAAGCGGATATTCCGTCAGCTCTCCCGTATGGACGTTCAACAGACGGAAAGACATGATTGTTGAGTATTATTCGAGTCCTAGTGACGAAGAAAGGGTGGAATGAACATATGCTTCTAGAGACATATTCGAGAAGTCACATGGTTCTGGGCGGGGACCGTCCGAATGAGGAAATACCGGTCACTATTGTGTTGAGGTCGATGCCTGTAGAGCACTGGCGCAAAGAAGCAGAACAATATGTACCGGTAGTAAGAACTGGTGCTGATTGTATCTTGCTGCAGCCACTGAGGGATTGATGTCAATAGTTTAGGGGCATTATGATGATCTGGGCCTCTGACGGACCCCCCAAAGTAGGTTCAAAGTTCGGAGACTCTTTCGCTCAGGCCTAAAACTCACACACAGAATTATTCTTGTCGAAAGTTGAGGATAGCAAAAATTTAAATTAGGCCATACAGTTAGCGTGAGACTCGAGAGTGTCAGAGGCAGGCAAGTGGGTGACATTGAAATTCACAGACACTCAAACATTAAGCTGCACAAGTCTGCGACCGGTATTATCAAATTATTGAGTGCCAATAATACATACTTAAAAGATAATACGGTATATATTATTATTTGATTTCATTTCATCCTATTAAATTTCTTAATTAATTTTAGAAAGCAGTTTGTTCATACACATGCTGCCTTCAGGTATCGTATTTCCCCTGTCGCCCACTTGTCAGTCAGAGATCTGGCTAAGGTTTGCAGGGCGTTTTCAGTTTTCGGAGGCAAACCTAAACTAAAGGCAATCTCCGGGCAAAGTTAATGTGTTAGGTAGCGCATGTAGTGGTCAGTTTTCAGTGAGCAAGAGCGCTATAAAGAGGTTGCTTGGCCATCCAAAGCCACCCGACAATCTGAGGCTCCCTTCATCGCTAGTTGAATTTCACTTCACCACGAACGCCGTACAAACGAGGTTCATAATGGAAGACCTTCATGAGGCCATGGACCCCTACATCAAGCGTCATCCGAACCCGAAACGTGGACTGAAGCAGCAGCTCCTTGAGGCCAAGCCTGACATTCGCCCAGTCACGCCGCTCCTCCCAATCGACGAAATGGAAACACGACTCGAGTACATGCAGAAGATAGAGAAGGGTCAAAGGGCCTTCCGTAAGGACCCTAGCTGGGGATTTGAGCCATGCCAATATGCCACGCTCATGAATCTACCTCTCGAAAAACTAGCAAAACATGCTCAGTACGACGCGCAGACCGAGGGTCTTCACATCAAACCCATCGGAAAATTCATGGCTCATTGTGAGTATCGCCCCTCGCCCTCGTTTAAGGTCAATCTAACTTTTCTTAGTTTTCCAACGCGAACAGCCCGGAGAACGGTGCGAGTTATCTCAAGTAGGTTTTCGCGAACCTGCAGGATCGTCTCTTGGTATACCATCATCCAAAGACTACGACAAGCATCGCTGTGTAGTAACAGGATCTGCGAACCCACAGGACTGTTACATCGTGCCGTTGACATGGAATTCCACACCTGAGCTGCTCAAAATCGCCAAGTCTCTTACAGTGGTAACCAGGGTGTTCTTTAGTCCTGATGATATACATATATTCGCCCATCTTTGTGATGAACTGGGATCTTTAGATAAAGATTGGAATATAGTTAACTTATCACCTCAACTCTATATATGGTGGAGCAAAGGCTACTTTGGCCTTAAGTATCTCGACCATAAGGCCGACGAAGAACCGGGAATGAGCAGGGCAGAGCTCCAGTTCGTATGGATGCCACATAGCCATTACGGCAAGTCGAAGCGAATCGACTTGGATAAGGAAAAGGATAAGGCAAGCAACATACGAGTCTGCCTTGAACATATGTTCGGCGGCGAAACCCCCTGCTCGCCTCCCTGCGACCGCTGTACAGCTATCAGCAAGGTCCAGGCACATAGGGTGCGAGATCACTATACGATCGAGTCAGGATACGTCTTCCCAGTAGTTCGAGAGACCAAGGACATTGAAAAATTCAAGGCCATGATCCAACTCCAATGGGCTGCTATTTGTGTGGGATCAATGTCAGGGGCGGCCAACTATCCCGAGCTCCTGGTTGGCGATGAGGACGACAACGACAACGACGGCGGCAGCGGCGACGACAGCGGCGACTACAGCGATGACTACTACTACGACGACAGCGGCGACTACGACGATGATGACGACAACGATAACCAACCATCATTAGTTGCCCCGGTTAGCAACAGGATCGAGGACTGGCTGGAGTCGGTACAAGAGCCGGTACAGGAGCCGGTACAGGCGCCAGTACAGAATTTAGCAGAGACTAGATTTTGTGGATGGTAGCAGAAGAACTAAGACAGCACAGCAGAGCAGAACGAACGGTTATGAGAAGGCCAACATCTCCAATGATCAAAACAATACAGTATTTTAGAACGTTATAAATCAACAATATTTAATTTTATTGTCTCTTATACATTTAATATTAGCCCTCAATAATCAGACAATAGTAATCTCAAACTTCAAATAAGCAGCTTAATGTTTGCTATCTCAATTCAAAGCCACACGGTGATAAAGAGAAAGCGGCAGTGAAGCCTTCAGCCTCGTTCAGCTAGGGGCCAAGCCTCGCCATAGCGTTGCAAGATATCGCAAACACGCCTTCGCCGACCAAACTGTCTGATGCATCAAAGAGCCCCATCAAGTCTCGGCTCTCACTATCCATGGGCTTGTAGGTGTGTCTTCGAGACGGCAAATATCGGCGGCGGCGACTTCGTTGCGTTATGGACTCCATTGTGCCTTCGTTGAAATCGTGATAGAGCCCATAATGTTGGTTTTCCTCAGGTTTCGAAACCCCAGTACTGTCTTCTTTATGCTCTAAACATCAAATAGGAGAATTAATGTCCGATTATTGTGGATGATATGGACAAATGGCGAAATATTGATGCGTTACTGCATGAATAGTCAAGGAAGGCGCCAGTCGGGTTGAGTCTGTTGAGTGAGTCGGCCTCCTTGTCCAGTCTGCGGTTGAGAACTTGATGACCTTTGGTTAGGTCTGTCAACTCAACTGTTTGCTACTCATTCCGCTAGCGCAATGATCTTCATTTGATCTGTTGCCTTGCCTCTTTATTTCTTAGATCTAGGACTCACAGATTTTGGGACTGCAATCATCATGGGCTCACAATATTATGGGAATGTCATTATTCGGGTTTCATATCGGGTCTCACATATCATCCCTTCCAAAAACATCACATACCCACGACCAAACCAGACCTCACAAAATGGCATCGAAAGCACCAGCTTACGACTATGAGGAGGTATTCAACGGAGAAGATATCGTCGCAATCACATGGGACTACCGAAATAATTCGCATGAAAAGATGATATCACGCCGGCGGGCTTTTTTCCCCCCTGGGGATATGTTACGGGGCCGCACCTGCCATCTTAGACTTTAGTTAGTTTAGCTAGGTAGCCAAGACGCCTCCCTAACCTCCAGCCATAGGCAGAGATCTCTTCTTATTATCATCATCATCTCGTCAATTGAACAGGCCTAAAGTCATCTATTCCCATCTCGTTCTGTGCGTGAATAATTGTGACAACGACAGGGTTGGCTGCTACTTTGCTTCAGATTCCCGGGATGGTTGGATGTAGATCTCAGGTACATTATTTTAGATGTAAGAAAGCTGGTGCTACTTGTACCAAAAATTTCCCTGTACAAAGGGCTATCACGTACGAGCTGGGCGCTACGGCCTGACCCGGTATCGTAAAACGCGTGAGTACAGGCAGAATCTAAAGCTTAATCATGAGGTACTCTGTTCTTCATTCAGACCCTATAATTGTTTGTTTTTGAGTGTGTTGACATGAACCGCGTCATCAAAGAGGTGTGTGGAGTGTGGGGCGGCCTGGAGCAAATCAGCAGCCAAGGAGGTGCTCGTTTCCTCAACCTTCACAAAACAACCGCTTATCTACCTCAACAAACAAATCAAAGCAACACTCACCTACATCAACAAGTAAAAAAAATTGACACCACTTAACTCACCAAGAATCGCGAAAGTTAAAAGTAGTACAGAATGTCCGCAAACCACTCGACTGATCGAGATGTACTGGAGTTAACCGACGCTGTGGCCGAACTCAGCTGCGAGGACGATGACACTCTGCCTAAGGAATGGCGAAACGACCCTGATTTTCCCGGACTGGCCGTGGAGCGATACTTCGACAGTTTGCCGCAACACCAGAAGGAATGGAAGGAGCAGGGCCTGTCAACCTTCGAGGTCATCAAGGATGCCTCTGGCCAACGCATGATGAAACCTCGCTGTATCCCCAACCCACAGCTTTCCGCCAGCAAGAAACTCAAGCACCAGCTGAACAAGGAATGGGTTACCTTGTCCCGGGACGTCGTCGCAGGCCAAGTCGAAACGTCACTGCCATTCAGATACGAGAACAAACAGATGAGGGAAGACCCGACTACCCAGAGATACAAGCTGGCGACTGTTGAATGGATTACCGTCCGCGAGGAGGAGGTTCCTAAGCTCGAGGAACAAGGTTGGAAGGTCTACTGCCCTCCCTTTCCCGCAGTCGACCCCGAGAAAGGCAATGAAGATAAGCGGCTCCCCGCCATGCGTCCCGCAGACGTCATAACTACCGACAAGCCAGTCGCCGACGGAAACTACTATCTGCGCGACGGACTCGAGATGATGAAGCGCATGTCAGACAACAAGTGGAAGCCAGGCGACTTGCTGGCCGAGGATGGGTCTGATCCCAAGGTGAAAGACGGATTGGCATCTTATGCAAGCCCCAGCGACCGGGACCAGATCACCGACCTTCGCTCAGCCACATCTACGAGTCATCTCTTCCATCACGAACGGCCAGATGACGTTTGCGTCGGATGGGGTGGCTATGACGAGTTCAATCATTGGCAATCTTGTGGTCGCAGAGTCACCAAAGATATGGTAGGCGTCCCAAATCCCAAAGCCGCCGAAGATCCGGAAGCCAAGGAGAGAATAGAGGAGCGAAAGTGGGAGAGGGACAGCAAAGGAGCAACCCAGTTTGTCACTGAGTCAGGCAAGGTTTTTTGCACCGTGCCAGCGTACGTTACAGAGCGTGTGCAACGCGGTGGTCGCCAGACCACTGAGAAACCCAAGCCCAGGTCGCTCTACAGTCGCCTACATCCACACAAAACCGATAAGACCGACAAGACCGCCAAAGGGCCAAAAGAGACCAAAGAGCCCACGGATACCAAAGAGGCCAAAGGGCCAACCAAGGACTGGTGGTGGTAAATGGTGATGGGTCGTATGATCTACACGCCGCATTGTTGACCTTGACCAGCTAGTTACCGGAAGCCTCGAGAATCATTCCATTACAGCGAATAGAAGCCCTCATTTTTGGCCGTACTAGCTAACGTACGTTGACAAAAGCCTCTTTACAAAGCCCTAGTGGCCCTATGGGTATAGTGAAAGCCCTTCTTGCATGGCCGTAATGGCTTGCACCAGCGAAAGCCCCCCCTTTTTTCTTTGCGCAGCCGTGATGGCTTGCATCGGCGAGAGCAACTGCCGGGTACTGCCCGTGGATTTCGGTCCTAAGGTCGCTTTTGGCAGCCCTACGGGGAGCGAGTTCGATTCTTGCGGCGACGAATCCGATATTCCTTGTATGCCCTTGACTTATTGAAGTCATCTCCATCAGTCTTTCGAGTTGGCCAGCGGCAGTGGTAGAAATTCAACACCATCCAGGCCACTGGCCTACCCAAACCTGTCTTTTTGTGAGTGATTAGCTGCTTATTGTCAAGTCTACAACGGTATTGTCAAATTATTGAGTGCCAATAGTGTGATACATTATGCTTATTACTGGGCTGATTATTTGGATAATGGGTTTTTTTTGTTATTGTGTCGAAATTCTACACTGGAGGTTCTAGGTGCCATGCTTATCAGTCGCCTGCCCGCTACAGCGTTGCAGGATATCGCAAACAGGCCGTCACCGACTAAGCCGTCTGGTTCAACAAAGAGCCCTATCAAGTCTACGGCTCTCACCGTCCGACGCACAAAGACGAAGGATGAGAATAAGACGAAGGATGAGAATGTTCGGACCGCGTACGGCGAGATGAGCGGGCCACCCCATCCGGATGTTTAGAATAAATGGCACACTTGATGGCCCAGAGTGACATCCATATCAGCAGCGGCATGCGTGGCAGGCAAGCTCAGTGGTGGCAAGTCGACGAGGCTGCGTGCAGGCAACCTTCAGGCCTGTCAATGTGGACTTCATTGGGATCGAATCCCGAATCGGCAAAGAATGCACCAGCGGCGTCCTACTATCCGACAAAGGCGAGGTCTAAGCAATGTGGCTAACCTGGGATATGGATACCGGGTGCTACACTCTTAGCATCAGCGCCGACATCATGACAACGGTAATCGACCTCATCCGTCAAGGCCACCTGGGTTGATTTACCAGATGCTATCTTGCTTGAAAGAATGAAAACCTGGTTGTCGTGGTACTCTTTGAGGATCTCATCGAACTTCCCGTACACTAGAAGCTTGCGGCGGCCTTCTAAGTGTGTTTTGGCTTCCTGGGGGGCATGTAGGTGTGGCTTTGAGACGGCGAATTTTGGCAGCGGTGGCTTCGATGGGTTTGATAGACTCCATTATAGCTTCGTTGAAATCATGATATTGCTACATATGTATTTGTGTTTGTATTGAAGTTCGTGTATGTTTGTGTTTACATAGAAACTCGTGTCTCTGCGTGGAAATGTACGAAGGAGGAAGCTAGAAGATTCTTTTCCCTGTCGTAGATAGAACCTGCTGTGTTATGTTTTGGCAGCTCAACCGCGTCGCGTTGTGGGAGCTACTCGCACCCGCGTCCGCTCAGCAGGCTCTCAGGTCGAGCTCACTTTCAGGTTGAGCAGTACAAGTTTACATAGGTACTAACCTAGGGCAAGTTTTTTAGTTACAACTCATCTGCTGCTTTCTCTATCTATTTGCCTCTCTACTAAGGTAGCCACAAAATTTCCAAGTTTCTTCCATACACATCACTCAACCACAAACATCACTCACCCACACAACATTCATCCACACATCATTGATCCACACATCACCCATCCACACACATCACGATCGTCACTCAACCGACACGTACGTACACTACTACAATCACCATAGAGTTTTATCTCTATCGAACCTGCTCGAAACTCTGCAACTAACAATTTACTGCGTAGAATGGCAAACCCACCCCAGTGGTACAAGCCGAAGGCGTTGAAGGAAGCGCTCAAGCCCTTTGAAAAATACAGAAAGCTGCTCTGTATTCGAAACATCAATTACAACTCCGATGCACGCCAATTCGAGGAAGAGTGTCGAAAGAGTATCACCATAGCCGACGATGTCAAGTTCTTGTGGCCCGCACCAGATCGTGACGAAAGAAAGAACAGAGGCAAGGTTTATCTCGGCTTCGATACGCGACCTGATTCCGTTGTTGCGCTTCAGCAAATCGGTGACGGTTTCGATTTCGAAGGATTGAAAGTCATAGTCGAAAGATCGGGCAGGGGGCCCAATCCAAAGGTAAATGCCATCGCTTACTCCAAGACAATCGCTAATGGGAGCTTCAGAACAAGGTCGCGAGCGTACCTGCAGGCTCAACCGCTGCATCCGCCTCAACTCCAACTCCAGCTCCTGCTCCAACTTCAGCTCCAGCTCCAGAAGCACCAGCTCCAGACCTATCTACAGCTCTATCTGCAGCTCTATCTCTAGCTTCGTCTCTAGCTTCAGCTATGGCACCTCATCCCGCTCCAGCTCTGGCTCTATCTCCAGCTCTGGCTCTATCTCCAGCTCTGGCTCTATCTCCAGCTCTGGCTCTATCTCCAGCCCCAGCTCCATCTGAGAACCAACCTGAAGCTCAAATGGTGGCCCCTACTGAGCGTCTCTCTATCGAAACCCTCATGGGGCACATAAATGAGTTGGCGACAGCTCCAGTGGCCCTTTTGGCTCAAGCTGGCAAACATGCTCGCGTCTCGGAACTTATGGCAAAGTTAGCCGCTGCAAACCCCAAGGCTGCAAGAAGTGTAGTCGAGGCCCTTGCCTTCCAGGGTGCTGTCACTTTATCTGCTTCCGGCTCTAGCAGTGTTCCCGTTTCGGGTGCCGGTCCTATTGAAGAGCCAACGGCAAGCGCCACTTCTTGCAACGACACTGTCCAACCAGAAACCATCGCGGCTCAGCCTGGAGACACCACCATGCAATCAGACAAAGAAGACGCAGAGCCTGAAGGAGGATGGTGGTGGTAGGGAGAGGTGTTTTGAGGATTAGGTTGTCAGCCCTGGTGTAAAGAGAGAGGAGGGTGTGGGTAGAGAGAGGTGTTTAGAGAAGGCAACATGTTTCTGTTCGTGTTGGTGGACGACGTCTTCATTGCATAAGCGAAAGCTTCTTTATTTCTTGCGCAGCCGTATTGATGGCTATGTTTGCATCGCGAAAGCAAGTGCCGGGTACTGCCCGTGGATCTCGGTCCTAAAGTCGCTTTTGGCAGCCCTACGGGGAGCGAGTTCGATTCTCGCGGCGACGGACACCGATCATTCCACTCGCTTGTATGGACTATGAGAGTTGGCAGTGCCAATGTGGCATCGCAAAATTGGGAAATATCAACTGGATCACAGGTGAGTTGAAGTTACTTCTCATGCACACCATCACTCCTTCGAGCACCCTTACTAGATACCACAACGATACAGTCTCTGTCCTTTAATGCTTACAGACATTGCAGAGCTTTAGGAGACTGTAGGTAAATCTAATTCCATTCTGTGTAAAAAAGTTATGCGGAACTCTATTTTCACAGAATACGCCTGGCAAAGGTTACATTTCGCTTAAGTTCTGAAGGTCAGGTGGCGATAGTAAGATTTTGCTTACCGTTATTTTACTCATCTCAAATAATTCTAAACTCCATTTCTCTCACAGACTTCTCCCCGACACAATTTCATCTTGCAGCACCCTTCTCGACGATCGAACATATACTCATTATATCCTTATATTTCAGTCAGGCATCATCTCAGCTTCCTTCTTCTCGGGAACTGGGAACTCTGCAATGATTATTCCAAGAATATCACGAACCCTCAGCATGTTCCAGCCTTCGGTTAGACGCTGGGTGGCTGCTCCTCCACGCCTCGATGAAGCGAATGTTGGCCAAGGTGTCAAGTCGGCCATTTACTCTTTATCAAGTTGGAACATTAACGCATTCTGGCCTCGACCAGTTGCTCGTGCGACCGCAATAATCAACCTGCTTCTGTCTGAAGCACACTTATCAAGCGACATTATCTTTCTACAAGAAGTCACTCGGGAAGTTCGCAGCAGTCTGCTACGAGACCCGCGGATCCGCTCGAATTATTTAGCTACAGATGCTGAAGACACTGCCGCATTTAACGATGTGTCATTCGCAACTATGACACTGCTATCCAAAGCCCGTTTCTCAAGCCAAGGAGCAACTATCGGCCCCGTCTCCCGATTCAAGCTTCCGAGCCAGTACGGAAGAGATGCACTCTGTACAGATGTGTTTCTCCCGCCATCTACAGCATCTTCTTCATTACACACGGGTATTGAAGATTGCTACCGCCTGCGTCTGGTGAATGTGCATCTTGATTCACTGAGCTCCACGCTGAGTTATCGCAAGCAGCAGATGGCCTGTGTCTCGGAAATATTGCACGAGAGCGACAACTCACAAACGAAACAGTCGAATATAGGTCTTGTCGCCGGCGATTTCAACGCCGTTTGCCAAGAAGACCAGGACCTACTCACGAAGAATAGACTCACTGATGCCTGGCTTCAATTGTATGGAGCGGATGCAGCGCAGTCCCAGACCAACACCGAGCAGAAATCCAAACACTTTCTCGGGCCCCGAAGGTTAGATAAAGTAGCAATATCGGGGCCATTGGAATCATTGGAGCTACAAAATCTCTGCCCTGGTACCATTCCAGTCCCCAAGCCAGGCGAGGTGAAGGATGGCGAGGTGAAATGGAGTGACCATCCCGGACTGAGATTCACATTTAAGCTTCCTTGATCCCCGTCAAGACTCGCTCCACAGAGTGACAATGAACACTCAAACCAGCATGAAAACACTCAACACTTTTATTACCCTATGCTCAAAGCCTATAGAACGATTTGTCTTGCCAATAGATAGCTTGATCAGGTCTTCTGTGATCACACGTCTTGTGTTTGTCAATAGTTTGTCTCGCATATGCCGTCTTACTGTCGCGCAACTTGGCGTGATGAAATACTCTTGGCAAAATGGCGGGGATCGTACGCGCGGATTCTGCTGTCATCTTGCCATCAATCTCTTCTTTTGTTGACAATTATCTATATCCAGACCCAATTACACTACCTAATGCTTCAATTAAATGAATCACAATCTGTTTACCATTACCAGGCACTGCCGCGTTCCCGAGTAATCCGTGTTCTTGTTTTATCTCCTGGAGCTGGAAGATGATCCCATTTGCGTCTCCCTTCAGGTCGCCTTTCTCGACGATGAGCCGGAATTTGAAGCCATTTCCTATGTCTGGGGTGACCCGACCTCAAGGGAAAATATCTACTGCGATGATGTCTGCATCAGCGTCACGGCGAACCTCCACGCTGCTCTTCACAACTTCAGGCTCGAAGATAAACCTCGCAGGCTGTGGGCAGACGCTTTATGCATCAATCAAGAGGATTTGGATGAGAAATCATTCCACGTGCAGATGATGCACACTGTATATCAATCCTGCGTTAGGTGCCTGGTCTGGCTCGGCGCTCCCGACGCGCATTCTGACACTGCGCTGGCCTTGGTTCAGGCAATCACTCGACTCTACGCCCAGCATCTGGGCATCGCGGTTGATCAGGCCGACCGTCATCTGGACCAACATGGAAGAGATCCCATGCTGGCTCAGAAAATCGGCTTTGATGGCCTACCACCCAAAGACTCGGAGCAATGGAGCTCGCTATTCCAGTTCCTTTGCCGGCCATGGTTCTCTCGCGTGTGGGTGAGCATCGCGCCCTCCTCATTTCAATCCACCTTGTCTCGTCTAGATCATTCTAATGAATTCTCAAGGTCATCCAAGAAGCCTACTTCTCCGGAGATGTCCTCTTTTTCTGCGGGAACAGAACGACGACATATGCACCACTTTACTTCGCTGCGGACTGGGGTCTCGTAAACCGGACAAGGGTGGGTTACAATAAAACCTACGATCCAGCCGATTACTCCAGTTCCATGTGCTTCAACGTCATGAAGATGAGGCCCGACAAGTGGACCCGCGAGAACCAGTCGCTTGACAGTCTTCTCGACGGATGCAAAAGGTTCGGCGCTACAAACCTCCGTGACAAGGTGTATGCCTTGATGCATCTCCCCGCATTCAAGAGAGAGTATCCCGATATCCAGCCAAATTACCGAGTCTCGGTTGAGGAAGCGTATGTCGATGTGACCATGGCATCGATCCGCCGAAATAAAGACCTCGTTATTCTTACGCGTGTTGATCGAGAATTAGGAGACCAGACCCCAGCTCTTCAACTGCCTTCCTGGGTGCCCCGGTGGAATAGAGGTGACGAGACGAGCAGCGCATCAACGACATGGTACAATTTTTATACTGCAGGGAAGACTAAGCCGTCTGCAGAGGCTTCTTCGTCACCGTTTTGTGCTGAACTTCTCTCCAGGCACAGGCTGCAGGTAGCGGGGTTCGAGTTCGACAGAGTGGAAGATGTCGCCGAGTTGACTTTTTTCCGCGGTTATAATGCTATTCCCCCAGCCAAGCCACACTTCTCTCCTTTGCGACCATGGAAACGATACGATCCTAGTTCAGAAACGGGGCCATATGCTACTGCACCGGCCATCATTGACGCCTACGCCATGACAATGACGGCCATGTGTCGCGAGTTTGAAGGATTCTACGCTCTCCACTGCGCACCGGAAAATGAAGGCCACCACAGGTCCGACTTCGTGGCCTGGCTACAATGGCTGCGACGCCCGGACGTGGAGGAGTATTTGCGCGAAGGGGACAGTCACCATCCTCCAGGCCTTTACTCCGACGAAAGGCCGTTCTTAGATGACACAACGGAGGAAGAGCTGGAAGTGTTCTACACGAGGTACAACAGGATGGTGAGGATGTACAATCTAGGGCGGAGATTGATAAGAACTCGCAGTGGGTACTTGGGGACTGGTTCGCATGAGCCGCAGATGGGAGATCTCATCTGCATTTTCTTTGGGAGTGCGGTTCCGTTCATCTTACGGCCGAGAGAGGACGGCGATGGGTTTATCTTGGTGGGGGATGCTTACGTTCATGGCATCATGAATGGTGAAGCCTTGGATGCGCTGGACAATGACTCATTTACGAAGAGGAACTTCATCCTTCACTGATGGCAGGTCCACCACTCTCAAAATCGCCTTAGTCTGTATAAAGAGCCTCAGATTGATATATTTCAGGGTGATTAATTATCGTAAAAGCAGCCAATAACAGTTGTCAAGACACAGCAATAGGGCGCAGTCATTATGGAGTCAATCAACACAATCGCGGGTGCGGTTGAGGTGAGGGTGCGCCGGAAGATCCTGGGCAGCAATTGTCTAAATTTTGGGGGACACTTGCACACTGCCCTTGAAAAAGCATTTCTCAGACTCAACTTAATAGAATTTGTATCATTCGCCATTCGTGCTGTCTTGTCTTCGAATTTTTGTTTCTTCGCAGTCTCGCTCTGTGAAGCTGGGACTGTGCGTCGGAGAGTAACGGCTCATATCCGCAATCTTCGAGTCTGTGCGTCATCAAAGGCAACTTGGCCGAGTGGTCTAAGGCGCTAGACTGTACGTTTCCCCGAAGTACCACTAAGTACCTGCGAGCACCTTTACTAACAAACCCACAGCAAGATTTCAATCTTCTACGTAGCAATACGTGGTGTATTCTAGTTCAGAGATGAGCGCGCGTTCGAATCGCGCAGTTGTCAATTCTTTTTTTGTTCTTTTTTGGGTCCTTGGTCCAGTTGGCATTCATCCGTATTTTAATTTATTTATTGGCTTTGCAGACACATCGTTTGGGGATTGACTTTTGGTGATGCGAACTCAAAAAATGTTAACTTTACTTGGGAGAATTCATTGATTTCGTCGTCACCCTGAACTTGATTGGCCAGCTTCAACACCTGCATATATCGATGTGCCTCCTCCCACCCAGTGAATGATCAAATATATTTCGTCAGTCGGTACAATCATAAGAAGAAAAATTCGGAGGTGCAGTCAATTACAAGCCAGCTAGATGGCCTTATAGATGCTAACATAGCAAATTACAAGACTCTGTCAGTCCTGATCACGAAGCATTCTCATGAAACCATACAATCAGCGTCATGAACTTTTATTCAGTTCATGTCACAATGTTATAGTAAGCAATCTTGCTTTCACCATACATGCAAGGCCCTGAAGTGAGTAGAATAACGATTCGCGGAGCAGGACAGGGAAATTTATAGTCTCGAGCATGTTAACAAGCTTCAATTCCAAATAAACAAAAGTAGTTACTGCGGAACAGCGCGATGTCATATGAAGAGCCCAGCCTGGTTGAACAAGCCATCACCCAACACTACATGTAGATTTTAACGAAAGTCTTGTTGATTCCACCCATATACCTCCCCCAATATAAGTGAAAAAGATCACTGAGTCTTGAAGCACTGAATGGAGTTGATCGGGGGCTTGCCTCGTGTATTGGGAACGCTGTCGGGGTAGTCGGTAACGGCACCAAAGCAATTCTGCAGACTGCCAACTCGTAAGCTTGAGGAATAATGATAATTATGCCCGTAATATGTCACTCACGAGTATGTACGACAATCGTAGCCATTGGAGACCTTGATAGAGCGGACATGGCCAGCGCTAGCATTCGTTCTGTTAGCAGGGTTGTGCAGTGTAAGGAGCGGGAGCAAAGGTTCTTACAGTGGTGGCCTAAGCTGATTGCAGCGTGCGAGCCCAATGGCTTTACTCACTCCTTTATAGTCTGTTTCAGACCAAACAGTTCCCTAGTGGAGCATCAGTGGAGGATTCATCAAAATATTCGGCGAGGATGGGGGAACGTACTGCAACAACTGCAGCATCATTCTGTGCAGCATCATCATTCTGTGCAGCGGCGAGAGAAAGAAGGGTGAACGGGATAAGCGTGGAGAATCGCATGTTGAAGAATTGTCTCTTAAACTTTACTGTGTGTTGGTAGTTGTGAGAGAGATGCTGGTGGTTTCTAAGAACTGTTTCTTGCGACAGTCTGGGAAGCCCAGCCATCTTTATAGTTCTCGACATTGTATCGAAGTATACTGTAAGACATACGCTAAAGTACTATTGTTGCTCTCAATATTATCAAGAGTGTCAGAATTGACAAAAAATACCTACCAACACACTGCTGCTCGCGAGAGCATGACGATAGAATGAAACGAGGCTTTCTCACGTCAGACTCTCATGCCTCTTTTCATTCCTCTTAATCGCCATCATTTCCACTCGTTGTATACACAAAATGGTCCTTATGTTGGAACATGACAATCATCACGATCATACTTTCACATTATGACGCTGATTACGAAGATTTTGGTGCTCACTTCCCAAGATGTGGTGAGGACGCGTTGCACTCCATTCCAGCAGCAGCTCAAGTACATTTGTTTGACATGCCAGTCATATATTAGCGGAATAGTCTAGATATACTTGCCCGGACAAAAAAAAAAGTTGTCAGGATCATGAACCAAATTGAGCACAGACTTTCGGACAGCTAAATCACAACGCAGACTAGGGAATTAGGCAAGGTGCTTTGTTGAGGCACGGTGACTGCACAGCACTAGATTTGGACATTCGTCGTCCGCGTACACGTACGTATAACGATGATTCTCTAGACCAAAAGTCCCGTTGATCAACATCTGAGTATGGCCGAATGCATTCCGAAACTCCGATGCGCGCCTTAATTACGTACATGTACCTAAGTAATAACCAATCCCGATGTTTGGAACTTGCATTGGCGGTTTGTAATGTCTTTGAAATTGGTCGTAGGTGAAAAATTATCAGGTCACGCTCAAACTAAAGTCCTCGCTGCTTCTTGACTGAAGCGAGTAACACCACCTGAGCGTCTACATCTAGATATTGAGACGATTCTCTAAACCCGGCCCGTAACTCTATAAGCACAATGATACATTTTGTAGTGGTGGGCCGAAACGCTCACTAGAATCTCTTTCGTAGTTAATTTTAATATTAAAGGCATATAATACCGTATATAGTTGCAAAACTCGTGAATAGCGGTGCTAATTGGGAAAAAATGAATCTCAATATGACACCAGGTAGTACAGGGTAGGCATCAATTGATGGTCCAACATCAATGCTGGGCAGAGCAGGGTATGAGAGGCGCACGGGCACAAATCACCAGGTTCGTCTTCTATAAAAAGAATGAAGCAAATAGCGAAGACCGAGTTGCTGGGCCACTATGAAGAGAGCCAGGGATCTCAATGAAAATGCTAATAGCGTCGTTTTATTTTCAACTGGTAGCTAGGGTCAATCGACGGGGCATGGGCATGGACACAAGTGCTGATTAATGATCATCGATTTCTTGGGAAGCGCGAGCGACATTGAAGTTATGACTGATGCTAGCCCGGAAACAAATTCTTAAGAGCGACATCAGGTCTTTGATCGTGCCTAACATTGATGTGTGTGTGTGTCACTGTGCGTGGCAATATGCCGTCTGGAAGAGGGCCGAGGATGGAGGACGACTTGACGCGACCGCGTCTGCTCCACAGCACACCTGCAGATTAACGCGACTCTGGCTGGTCAAGCTTAGAATATTGGGGTTGAGTGAGCCCTGGACTGGGCTGGGCTTGTGGTGAGGACTTGGCCGGATGAGTAATGAAAGACTGGGCCAAGACCAGTCAAGGAGCCTGTTGGGAGCAATTCCGCCTGTGTGCGCAAAGTTGGGAGTGGACTCAGTGGAGGCACCAACCCAGTTTCAGGCCAAGCGGGCGCTGTCGTAGGCTCTCTTGTGGTTGCTACAGTGAACGCTACAGAGGGCACATCACCAATGCGCCAACTCCAGCGCTGGCCCCAGAGTGGACCGCTGTTCTATTTCGAGCGCCCTCCCGGTTCCTAATGGAGGTGCCATCAGCCCCCCAGCAAATCGACCCTGATTTCGCCACCCAGCACCTGCTTTCTGATGCCTGTCGCCGAAAAGCATCGCATTCTCTCCATCATCGTACCAGGCACAGGCCTCTGATTCACCGCGCCTGGCTTATCTGCTGACTGACTTGCTCGATGGATCCACCGCGCCAGCCAACATTGAACCTTGAAGGCAGGGGAGATGGCCTTGGCTTTGCCTGGGACACGCCGTAATTAGTGCTGGGAACAACTGCCGACGACATATTTAACATTCCGCCGTCGCCGTAAACAACGTCTTCTCTCTCATCACGCCTTCATCACTCAACCTTCTCACCCATTTAATAGTCGATCCGCGCTGGCACGCATTTAATTCTTGCACTTTTCTCAACTTGAATCATTCACTTGATCTTCAGGCGGCTGGGACGCATTCACTTCTTGCTTTGACCACTTACTCATTCCTAATCCCACCACCAGCGTCTGGCACGCACTTCGCTTCTTGCCTCTTTTACTATATCTTTATTTGATTAACTCTTTGTAATTATCGACTACCTAGCGGCTGGTACGCATCTACCTCTAGCCCTACCTTATTCTTTCGGCTTTTCAACCTTGTCAACATGACCACCGACATCATGACCGGAGTTTCGGAGGACACCAAGACCATGGAGATGGGTCTCCTTTTGGATGCCGAGCACAACAGAAACAGCCCCGAGAGAATCTACATCACCAAGCTGCGATTCCGAATCGTAACAGGAGTTCTCTGCCTCATTCTGCTTGGCCTCAATGTTATTTCCATGAAGGAATGGGGCCGTGTTGGCATCATCTACTTTGCGCCTCCCGTAAGCATCACCGATTGCGAGTGTGGCCGACCTTTGCTAACATACAAATCTATAGGTTGCTCTCAGTCTGCTATGGGGTCTCGTCGAAGGTGTCTCCGTCTACACCCGACCTGGACGCCGAGGCATCAACCCAGGACTCACCGTCACCGTTGACGGCATCCTCATGATTTGCTACCATGCTGCAGCAACCACTTACGGCCTCAAGCACGGCGGATGGGACCAGTTCTACGCCGAGAGCTTCCCTGACTACGCTTACTGCATGGCCCAGTATGTTGACAACATGATCCTCGCACTTTCGTCTCTCCAGATGTAAGCAATCACCCCCCGCCCCACCGCGGCATTATTCTAACGAAAAGAGCGACGCTGACATCTCACTCCGCAGCTTCTTCCACGTCGTCATGTTTGTGATTGGCTGCTTCGAGATCACCGAGAACAAGCGCAAGATTGCCAGAAGCTACATCGACACGACCCGAGGCGACTTCATGAACACCGGAAGCTACTGCCGGTACTCGGACCAGAAGTCCCACGTGCGAGCGCGCTCCGTCGACTCGACCTACTCCGACGCCTACTCCGACGATGATGACTGCAAGTCAATTGCTTCAAGCATCAACGAGAAGGACTTGTAAACATCCATTCGAGCGCACTGGACAGGAAAGCTCAACTGTCCCGTGTCAGAGAGTGGGTTTCACTTTGAAATCCGCGCTCTTTTTTCCTTTTTCTTTGCTTCTTTTTCTTTTTAACGAATTTCCTATTTTCTTCTTCTATTTTCCTTTTTCTCATTTTCTTTTTCCTTTGTCTTGGTTTAGTGTTTCTTAATATCAGTAGAGGTGATCTCTATCTGATATTCTGAACCCTGCCCTTTTATTTTTGTCGCTTTTTCTTCTCCTTTTTACATTATGATTTTCCTTTCAACTTATACTCACAAAAGAGAGCGTTTTGATTTTCTAGTTACAGAATAAAATGAATTTAAAAATAATAAAAAGAAAATCAATAAGCAGTGAATATTGAGCGTAAAATGTAGATCTGCTATCCTCGCGACTTAGATATAGCTTCTCTAAGCTCACTCAGTCGTAGCCAAGTAGCTGGAATCAAACATGACACACCAAAGTCCTCCATATAGCCTCGGTTTTTGACACAATGTTTACATAATTAACCTAATTATTAATACAATATCAAGCTAAATAGTGTAGAATAATCTTTTGTACTGTTACTATTTGAAGTATTATTAATAAGAGAATGAACTCTCTGGCTTGCACGAGAAGAGCTCCGGTATGCCATGTTTTATCTCAGTCGCTTTGTAGCTTATATTGAGGTGTGCTCTCCTTGTTCACAGACTATCAGATCTGAGCTCAGACCACAGCGGCTCTTGTTCACAGTGATCAGTCTTCGATGACAAAGGAAGATGTTTCTAACGCACGAAACTTAAGATGAAACTTTACTTGTTCCGCGAACGGAAGTAAACATGATTTCCTACCAATCAAAGAACCCAGAGGCTCTAGGAACGGACTTCCCAATGGTCTCATCATAGGAATACTTGGCATAGAAATGATCTGGAACTCACGTTCAGAGAAGCATAAAACAGTTTCCATGTCCAGTTCACAGTTTCAACATATTTTCACGTAGTCTGAATTCGATAGCTTTGATTTTGTACTTCCTGTTTTGTTCGTATACACCCCGTAAGTCCAGAATTAAGTTACTTGCTGGCCACGATTCTCTATAAAAGCAGGTTGGGCACCATCAAGCGCTTCAGGATTCCCTTGCATCTATATCCCAGATTTCTTCTGCATCCATATCTCAGTCTTCCGAATTTCGAAATTATTACCACTATCTTTCATATCTTTCGGAATCCCTTCTTCCACCGGTTACAATGGCGGAACCAGGTTCAAGTGGTGGCCCAAGCGGCACCTCAAACATCGACCTAAACGCTCTCGCGAGGCAAATGGAAAGCGTAGGTGCGGAGCTGCAGCAGAACATTATATCCAACTTGGCGGTGGAAATCCCCGCAGATCTCCATATGCCTCCTGCGCTATCAGGAATGAGGTTCCTCACGGGTGTGTTCCCTCCACCCAGCGAACAAGTCACAGACGCACACGTTATCGAACACGTCAAGGAACTATTGGCGAAAAAGGTGGTTATAGCGGGAAATGCGCGAGAAGACGACGTCGTTCGCTGCCAGCAAGAGTTCTTCAACAACCTGTGTGGACGGCCCTCGAGTCTTACAAAGACGGAGTTCTTCATCGCCAGTGCTCCCAGCGACCGTATCAGACTATACAAGTTTAAAGACGTGGTGATAGGAAGGGTGCTTGACAGAGCTCTCCAACCAGGGCCGCGCTCTTGGGTGCACGCTTTCTTACACTGGAAGCAGACAGGTCGCGATGCTCAACGGGCACTGGCAAGACGCCCACCGGCAGGACCCAACGTTCGGCAGGCACCGGCCGATGTTCAGCTGACGCCGCAAGATATCCTGTCGATTGCGGTCTTTAACATGACTTCCTTGGAGTTCATAGACTGCACCGTCACCGAAGACCCGTTCCTAATAACGAACCTTTCGGGTGATGGGCCATTGGAAACATACATGGTCAGAACGGCTGGTCGGGAAACGGCCCCTGACCTCCTGGACATCAGTCCTCAAATCGTCACGCAGCACGGGATCAACAACAGGCCACAGCTCAAACTAGCCTGCTTGAGGTGGGATGGGGTAGCGGCACTCGGCGAAGTCAGGCATGCTGAACCAATCATGCTCCATACCAGCCTCAAAGTGCTGGAACTCGTGGGATTCGCATGGGGGGGAAGGCAGAATACCAGGGGCTTCTCCACAGTCGGTGGTCTGGTTTGGACGCAAGTTAATCGCAGCATCACGAAGCTCGTTCTCAGTGGCTGCACCCTCAGCGAGCTTGGCCTTGAGCAGGTCTTTGACACGCTGCCAAACTTGAAGGATCTATCTATTGAACTTGCGTGTAGAAACAGACTGGGAGCGCTGTTTGATTCTCGCCCTGGCCGTCATATAGCTGGCACATCGAAGCGCGATCTCGGGACAGTCCTGAGGCAGAAGGGCAGGAGATTGAGGTCGCTCGACCTGGATGCCACTGCGTACCCATTTCGCCGCGAGAATCGAGATGACTTCTTCGGGTTACTGATTGGGCTAGAGAACCTGGAGCAGCTGACGATCAGCAGTGGTGATTTCTTCAAGGAGGACAGGGTGGGGATTGATCTGAAGAGCGAATTGCCACTGACAGGTATGCCTCATCTCAGGAGCCTATACATACGCCACTTGCGGTCCGATGTCGAAGTGACCGGTCCAGCGGGTCGAGACCCATCCCCAGCGTTTCGGCAGCAACGGGCCCAGAGCATGATGAACGACTGTGTCAGACTCCTCGGCGAAATGCCCGATCTCAGTGTCACTTTGGAGCTTCCGCCCGGATATCCTGAGACTTCTATCCCTGGGCATTTGACTAGACAGATACAGTGGCTGGGGAAGTACCGGGCCTGCCATGGGGCAATGGAGGGAAGCCAGTTCGCTAGCAATCCGCTGGACCCAAGTCAGGTCATTACAATATCTCTACCGCGCCAAGGCCAGTAGACTCGACTAGAGTCCCAGCAAGGCGAGGAGCACCAGGATGTCTATTGTCGATACAGTGGTGAGAACTGCCAGGATGGATGGCGTGAACGAGAGTGAAGGAACTGGCGAGGAACGTGTTGTTAGGTGTCAGCTTATTTCCAAGGAAAATTGACATCTTTGACTAGATGCAAAACTTTGCTGCTACTTAAGGCATAGGATCAAGATCTAAACCTCCAATCTTCCATGTCTATTTTACGTGACTGCAACCAAGGGTAACGATCTATTCTAAGTAACAGTGCTTCACATAGTACCCCTTATTTAGATGAACCTAAGCGTATTTAGAAACTTGTAGAATCGTGAGATCGAAGTCCAAATATGGAAGCTAAACATCCTTTCTAGGTTTGGAAAGATACAGTGCTGCGTGGATAGAGTGACAACCAAGCGCACTTGGGGGCCAACCAAGTGGGTGAAATAAATCATGGCACACTAAAGCTCTTTTCGCGGACGGCAGGGACCTGGTTTTTATCTAAACATAAGAGTAAAATAATTGATATATTATTCTACGCTATTGAGCTTGATATTGGATTTATTTCCAGATTATTTAGTGTGATATTGGTGTTGAAATTCAGCGCTAAACTGTCCAGATGTACCACGTTTTAGATTAGTTGCTTGTCGACAAATCCGATAAGCCTCTACAACTACTTGATCCAAACGATCTTCAGTGATTCTAGTCTCTATGCGACGGGGAAAATGTTTCGTATTACGACGAAATAATCAGCAGAGTGCTTTGGGCAAACCCCGTATATGCAATTCGACGAATCACAAGGTCACCCGATCCAGGGTAATCGGAAACTGCTCCTGCATTTAGTGTCGTTACACTCGTCCATCAATCAAACTCAGCAACCTTCATTCCTGCCATCAGGCATCGAAAAGCAGACAACACCATCCAGCGCCATCCAGCAACTCATGTCATCCATCGCAGTCATGAGTGAGGTAGTCGGCGCGACTAAGCTCCCGACGGAAATGTGGATGGTCGTTGTGGAGCATCTCAAGCGCCCGTGGGATGTCGCCGCCTTGGCCCAAACGTGCCGCCGCCTTCATGATGTCGTTAATCCTCTCCTCTACGAGCATGCCGCCGAGCACGGCTACGACCTCAGAGCCCTGGTCTGGGCCATCCGGTTTCGTTTGCACAGCACGCTGAGCCACGCCCTCGCTGCAGGTGCCGACCCCAACAGAGTGTGGCGGTATTTTAAACCTGGAGCTACGCAGAGCGCTCCCTCTTTTGACGAGTGTATTGGCGCTGTGTCCAGGGCAGCCCAGTCTGACTTCAGTCTCGTCTATCCGCGGCCTTACTGCTCCCCGCTGCACCTCGCCGCGTCCTTGGGCGACACCGAGGCCATGGGAATGTTGCTTGACCATGGTGCCGAGCCTTATGCCGGCTCGTCGAGGGTTTGCAGGTGCTACGACATTCAGCATTTTGCAGATTCGGGCCATACCTCTTCTTTCATCAATCAATCGCCACGAAATCCAAGATGGACCCCGGCTCACGTTTCTATATGTACAGGGAACATCAGAGCCTTCGAACTCCTGTCCTCCAGAGGAGGTGGCGTCGAAATGCAGAGCATTGATCCAGATCCGCGGACGCCTTATTGTGCACTGACTCCTCTCCACACCGCTGCCATGTCTGGCCAGGCTGAGATGCTGGAGTGGTTGCTGAAATCCGACCGCGAGTATGACGTGGACGCCCTTGATTTCAGTGGTAAAACGCCTCTGGTCTATGCCTACTACGCTCATCACTGGGACTGTGTCACTCTTTTGGTTCGCAACGGCGCGGATATCAACAGAGACCACAGGATAACTTTGATGCAAGAGGGGCAGGGATACGACCCCATCCACATAGTCGAGGATGATGTCGATTTCTTATCACAAGGGACACTTTTGGAAGATGCAATGATGCCAGCCAGGTTCGAAGATGCCCTCCGGCTCCTCGATCTCGGAGCTGATCCCGTTATCACGGACCGAACGCTTCGAATCGGAAATTCCCTAATTCACAAGCTATGCCTCTATCCATGGTACACCATCCCGTGGGACACCGCCAGATGGGAAAGCAGGCCTGTACATGCCGCCGGGATGAAGCTCCTCAACCACTTCCTAGATTTAGGCCTCAACTTTCGCCAGAGCGAAAGGTATCCGCCGCTGATGTACGGTGAGGGGCTTGAATTAGGATACACAGCTCTAGGCTATGCAGCTCGCGCCGGCAACTTGCACGCAGCTCAGAGACTGATTCAGGCTGGTGCAGATGTTGATGGGAATCCAGAGCAGGACATGTGCACGCCCCTGGCCTGCGCGTGCAAATATTCAGCAGGCAAGCCGGTAATGGAGATGGTGACTCTTCTGGTCAAGGCAAGCGCCTCCGTGAACCGACTCAGGCCCCAATCAGAAGGTCCTCTATGGGTCATTCATCGGGCTTTTGATGAATACGGTCCTGCCCCTGGGAACATAATAGACAAGGTGACAGACTATCTCCTAAAGCTGGGTTCCAACCCTGGGAGAGGCACATCCAATGGTGATGATGCGTACTACACCGCTCTGGACTATGAGCTGCTGGCTGGCAACTTGGAAAGATTTGAGTACCTTCTCGCGAAATCTGCAGAGGGTTCAATCGGGGATGATGATTTCATCGGCTTCTGGAAGGCGAACAAAACGCGCCCTTACAAAGACAACACCCCATATCTCCTCAAGCTCGACAAGAAAGGCTTGATCGCGAAGAAAGACCCGACCGTTCTGCCATTCATCATTTGCCGACCTCAGCTTGACCCTGAGCTTGTGGACCACCTTCTCGAGCTGGGTGTCGACCCCAACGTCACCTGGTCGGGCAACACTCCGCTAGGGTGCATCCTGCAGCAAACTAACGTGAAAGAGTCGATAATGCTGCGCGTAGTCAAGAGCCTCCTGAAATTTGGAGCCTCAATCTTCCTTCCGATGGAGCCGATGTACTTGACAGAACTTGACGCTGGAGCTCCTCAAACTCCACTGGCCCTAGCTGTCCACATGCGGGATACATCCTTTGAAGTTCTCGAGGTTTTGTTGGAACATCAGCCCTTGAAAGACGCCCCCCCGGATGTCGATCCATTTGAGTACATTCTGCAGGCTTCTATGGCGGGAAACACAAAGGCGCTTGCCGCTCTCTTCGCTTCACTGGGTGCCTCGTCCCCCGTCCGGCAAGCACAAGCCACCAACATGGTCCATCGCGTGCTCGATGCGATGTTAGAAAAAGCAGACACCATAAGGAGGACAAACATCATCATAGACTGTCTACAGGTTCTCGTTCGGCATGGTGCCGATCTGTCCGTTGAAGCGTCCGAGCAATTCCTCGATGGTCGAACAGGAACCGAAACGTTGAGGGCTATTTGCAACGGGGAGTTCTTTCCAGACCCCGACGCGCCGAAATCTAGAGCATGGACCTGGTGTTTTCAGCAAAGACTTGATTTTTCGGGGTTTGGCGGCTTTCCGATCTTCAAGAAACCTACGATGGAACTCTTCTTCCAGTTGCACATCTCTGTTGAACAGCTGGGCAGAATCTTGGCGGACGATTCGAGAACTTGGTCGCTCCGATTTAGGGAGTAGCGAGTGTCTAATGGTGGTAGTAAGTGAACGAGCAGGTTATGCGGCAGTTGCTGAAAAGAAAAAGGGGGCCAATACCCAAACGACAAAAACCAAGAAATCGGCAAATTGATGCTATCACTAGCATCACGATATGTTCAACACATGGAAGTTCAGCGTTTTAGGCCGGCCACGAGGCTTACGCCCGGCTGCACTTAAGGTTAAACGTCAACAAGGATCTGTGTCCGGGATGATGACTCTTTCGTCGGCATGACTCTGTTCATGAACTTTTTAATACTGCTTTCCTTCTGTTTTGTTATCTATGAGGTATGATTCCAGGAATTCGCTTTGAATTTCTCCGCCGAAATCGATAGTCTCGGCGTGTGTCCAGGAGCAGGGATGCCTAGTCTTCTCTTAACTTTCTTCTTCTTCAGCTTAGCACTTCTCAACGCTAGATAGTATCCTCCTTCATAGGTGTGTTTAGTGAGCTGTTGAATATCCAAGAGCGGCTTTTTGGGCTCTTGTGTTTAAGTCTATTCTTTTGCCGAGCCTACCGATAATTAGCGATTTGGGCTCATATTCAGATTGTAGTTAAAGAGTCATTAAAATAAGTCATGAAAGATCTAAGGTTTCCCTTATAGATTCAATGGAACACTTGGGTGAGCCTTGTGCAAAACAATTTCCCCATCACTCCTTGGTCCGTTCTGAGCAAATGATACGGCAAAACCTACATGTAGGCAGAGAGGATGATGAATTACGGTGAGCAACTGAACATGGGGCCTCCCTACCGGCACCACTTTTCCATCTCGGAATTTGGACCTTGCCAATAATTTTTCGCGCGAAACTACCACAATGGGAAATCTTGGAATAAAAATAGAGCCGCCCCATCGCTGGTGAAGCGTCATTATTCCACATGAATATGTCAGCATCAGCTATGTATTCAATACATCGCGATATCAGGTGGAAAGTACCCCGGCAGCTTCTCTGACGTGTACCATTGCCCAATGTCAACATTGCCGCTTCTGTCTTGTTATAATGTCGCTGGATGAGGAGGCATTTCGCGACCCTTGTCATAAGCAATGTTGTTACTTCGGCCCTAAATCGGAAAGAAAGAGCCACTGCTGTTATACTGACATATGAATAAGCTGGTCGAATCCAAACTTTCTTATCAAATCCCCCCCCCCCCCTTGACTGGTTATTCTCACATCGCCACTACAAAGCCGAGCAAAGGATCATCACAACTTGCCGGGCTTCAACTATCCCCTAACGATGGCTTCTCCTAGTGTTTGGTTAATCACGGGTGCCTCCCGAGGACTCGGTTTCGAGATCGCCAAAGCGGCGTTGCAGGCCGGCCACACGGTTGTAGGGGGTCGGCGCAATTCCGGCGAAGATGACCCCCGAGCAGCCGAGTTACAGTCCCTGGGTGGGCACTGGATCAATCTCGAAATGGCCGGCGAACATGTTGAAGAGAGGATTGCGGAAGTGGCAGCGAAATACGGGAAAATCGACGTGCTGGTCAACAATGCTGGCTACGGTGTAGGAGGGGTTGCAGAGGATATCGGGTATGTTCCAACCTTGGCTCGAGCGACTCATTCCATCCCATCTATGAGGTCCTAAGTGTCCGGCGTTCCAGCATACAATTATACCGAGACATCATAGAAGTCAACGTTATTGGTGTCATACGAGCATGTCAAGCCGTCACCCCCATCATGCGCAGCCAGGGCCACGGGACCATTGTCAACATTGGAAGCCTCAGCGGCATCATTGCGGAGCCCGGAGTCAATGCATATGCCTGTAGCAAGCACGCTCTGGAAGGTGTGTTTCTGTTCTCAGTTCTTGGTGCGATTGAATGCGCTTACATTCTCTGTATAGGCTTCACAGAAAGCTTCTCCAAGGAAGTATCTGCTTTCAATATTCGCACACTGCTTGTAGAGCCCGGGAATATCGACACGGACGTGGCGGACGTCACCAAAACTGGCATTGAGGTCCCCAGAAGTGAACCGTATCGTGGATCGCCAGCAGATATAATCCTGAACACCTTAACGAACGCCGAACTCCTCAAGTCCATCTCCGCCTGTCCCATCAAATCAGCCTTGCGTATTGTTGAGGCCGTAGATAAGACGGGGATGTTTGCCGGGCGAGATGTAAAGCTGAGGTTGCCATTGGGCAGGGAAGTTCAGGACATACTCGACTGGGGGAACGAGTTGGTAAAGAGTACTGACAGCTTGAAAGATATTGCCAATAGCGTCTACAATTGAATGATTTACTATTGACTCCCGTCTGTTATAGTCATGTATAATTTGGGCGATGTCGAGTGGGCCGGGAATGGATATTTGTGGTCTTCTCAGCCGATCTTCAGTCACCGTCTGCCAGGAAATGATACATTACGAGCCAAAATCTATGCATATTGAAGAATCCCTCTAGTGGCTATACAGAAGCCTCGTTATCGCTGTGCTGTGGATCCGGGCTGTGGCAAGTCAGTCCTGTCTAGTCTCTGGCAGATCAGGCTTCAAGAAACATGGCATCTACTTCTCCTTCTTACTGAACGATAGGATAATCTGGCCACGGTGATGTGGAAAATTTTTCCCAGCTCCTCGATGTTTAACCGGCAGTTGTACACCACGCTCTCCCATCATGGCATAAGAACGGCGAAGGTTTACAATAGGGGGTTGAAGAGCTGATATATTCCTCTCCGCAGCGACTAAACCAGTGGGACAACCTATGATCTACTTTCTGGACGGACTGGACAAATGTTGGGAAAGACCGACGCCATATCATTTCCAAACTGTCGTTCCCCCCACCCAATCATCTAGTTTCAGACTTCGCTTAAGTTTACATTATGTTTTCGACCTTACGATAACGTGGAGCGCTGATTCTGGCAAACGACGTCAGGCTCCCCTAAGATTCGGCTCCGCGGCGGACAACAAAAAGACGGAATTCGGGACGAAGTCAAGCTATTTATTGAAGTGCGTCAACGATCTGGCGGTGAAGTTCGACCTAGCCAGACAAATCACAGAAGAACTACAGCAGGACCCAATAAAACAGATGCAGCACCGTACATGGCTCTGGGTTACCTCTCAAAGAGTCACATGATAACTGTCGAGATGGCGTATTTCCTGAAGCAGGACGGACCGAATCAACCCACAAGTCTGTCGCAAGATGAGTACGATGCATCCTCGGCAGGGTCAAATCAAAGCAAAACAATTCCGGAAACACTTAGCATTAACTCTTGCAACACGAAGAACCCTGATCATCGGAGGGATGGCAGCTGCTCTTGGCGCTACACGTGCCGACGAACTCGGCCTGCTAAAGTTTGATGAGTTGAGCGAAGATCGTCTACAGAAGCGAATCCGGGAGCTGCATGGCCTGGGGTTATTTTCATCATACATTCCACCCTCTTCCTCATACATCCGACTGCGCATGAGTTACTTGTGGCAGATAGCTCACATTCTAAGTCTAGAGCCTCAAGCATGTGAATGCCAATTTCCATGTGAGAAAGATAGAAAGTCTCGTGGTCCGATTGTGTGCGAAGGACATTTGTCTTTTCCTCGCGCAATATTCGAAAGGGTCCGGAGGCAGCTTCTTCTCTGCTCTGAGCATTGAACCTCGAATTTGAAACAAGAACATTCGGAGACAGCCGAAACTGGGCGTCTATATAAAGTCCTGTCACCGCATGCTACCAGTGAGAAGCGAATTCACTCATATTTCCATTTATATGGGAATCTTTAGTACGATATAGCAAAACATCCTGAGGTTACTAGTACAGCATACCGCTGCTTCAATAACAGATCAAAGCTCCATCCTTGAGAGAATAGTCCATAAACCGAAGAACTGAGTTGATTCTGAGGAAGCACTATTAGAAACACACTACACTGGGAAGTTGAGTCGGTCCATGCAGAAGAAGTCCAGGCCGTGTCACTTGCCGGCTTTGAGAAGACTTTGCAAATGCTGGAAGTGAAAGCGGCCGATATGAATATATCGAGGAGATGAGACTGCTCGTAAGGCCGCATCATACAGTTCACAAATAGGTAATCAGAATTTTGGTTGATTACGGCGTCAATAACGCATTTCGAGGAGTGAATGCGGTACTGCACAAGAGGCTGCAGCATGTCAGGCCGTGAGGTGGTAGTGCAGATGGTTCGAACCAAGGGCACCGTTGATACTATTTTCAAAAGCAAAGTAACCGCCCTATAAAAAGATCTCTAGTCGTTGTAACTAGTCAACCATTTAAATACAGGGTTGTGCCTATATTAATCTTTCTGAGTAACTGCTTCCAAGCCGCCCTCAATACCTTTAAGATGTCTTGCTATCCAAGCCCAATACATCATTTCCTGATTGATTTTTCGATGCAAGATAAGCAAGCGGTTGCATATTATCAAGATACTCCCTCAAAGCCACAATCTTGCCGTCTTCATTTACCTCGAAAATCATGACCACATCGTTGTCGTATCGGCCCCCGGCTGAATCTTTTCCGTGAACACTCATCTCTACCACAGCCCTTCGACCTTCGGCAACAAAAGCTTTTTGTTCGACGCTGAAGCTTGTGAAGTTCTTAAACATGGCGGGGAGCTGAGGAAGCCTCTCTGAAGCAGGCAAGGATCCTGCCCACGGTACATTGGGTTGCTTGCCCAACACCCAGTAAGTGCCGTCGGCCGCAAAGAGGTCTCCCAGCGCGGCGAATTGGCGAGAAGCAAAGTTCGATAGGAAGACTTGAGCAGCTTCGCGAGCTGAGGATCTGTTCTCTGATGCCATTGTGCCGGGATGAAGATTGGCTAAGATGCACTAAAGGATGCTTCTTTATCAACCGATTGTCACGGTTCGTCTTCTGGTATTTCGTATCACCCACGATCTGGGGGTTTGTGGGTGAAACACTGAGATTATATTCCCAACCAGTTTCTGTCTTGAGTAATTTTCCCGCCTTCTCCGTTGCCAAGAAGTAGAATGAGCCATTATGAGTCTTACGGTAACTCTGAAGCCATCGGCTGCAACGGGAACGAGGCGAGGGGTTGAAAAACCGGGTCCCAACCGGGCATCATTTTTCAGGGTTCGCGGGATCATTGGATTTGTCATCGAGAGACGTTTGAATTCAGTTGTTAAAAGAATTAAATTGTTAGGGAAAATATATCTATCCATCACAGCGCAACAAAATAGGCGAACCTTTTTGTCGTAGGTATTTATAGCTAAGATACCCTCCAAGTGTATTGCCAAACCCATCTTGCTAGCTGAGTCGGGTAATCTTTCAGGAAACCTCGCTAACCTAGACTGTTTTGCATCCTTTTGTGACTGTCGGCGGTTATAGTCTATGATGGTGCTAGCATGGTGCTGAGTCCCCAAATCCCAGTTTGAGGACCTGTTTGTAACGATCCCATTCTTGAATCGCGGCAGATAGAGCACCTGCGCTTAGATATCATGGAAGCCTGCTGTGAACAGTTCTAGCTACATATTCAAGTTCCATTAATTGGCAGTAACATATGTATTTACTTATCATAGCTACTAGCAAGCTTGAAGACCTTCAAAATAGATCAAACCGGTTTCAAATAACACCGCCGCTTGATATGAGAGGGGGAGAAGTCAAAACATATCGACCATATCAATACAACAAACACTTGCATAGAAACTAGCGGCTTGCACATGGCAGTTATAAACACGTGGTATATCTGAGTGATTTTTCGGCTCTAGGCCACAACACATTTCAATTTGCAATTCAGAGAAGCAGGGCCGAAAGATATAACCAGATTGGGACAGCAATTCTCGCTTATATACCATGCTTCCGGTAAATCGTCGCAATTGTAATTCGGTAGAACGACAAGGCCCAAACGAGCCCTTGCCATCTGTTCCAGAGCATTGCCAGTTACCTTACCTACTGGGACAGAGGTCGGATCACTCTGTAGTCCGTTCCTCTTCCTTCAAGTCCCGTGCATCGGCCGCCTCGACAGATTCGGCATTCTTACCCCATCTGGCAAGTCGAAGCGCGCGCGTGTTTTGGAGGAGGAAAGTCTCCGAACCCCCAGCACGCACGGCGTGATGTTACGTTGATCAGGCTTTAATGCCTGAGCATCCAAGCATCCTGGTGGTAATTTGATAGTTGACTAGGGGATGGCCAGCCTTTTCAATTTCGCGGCAGCCTGCTGATCAAAATTAATGCTTTGAGCCGGCCAACCGGTATTGATCATATTTGGGCTTCATATGGTTCATTAGATAAGCAGCCGAGCTCTTCAAATTTGACCCCTTGTCGACGGTACAAGGGTTGTCCCGAAGGTAGCCCAGCATTGGGATCCTTCGATTAAAGCAAAGCTCTATGACATGTGCTCTAGAGGCTTCTTGGTGTTTTGTTATCAGGACCACAAGCTTGTTCTGGTTATCTACGCCGTTTCGAACAACAATCCTGCGCATAAACTTCATCTGAATGAAACAGGGATTCTGGTATGTATGGATCACAAACGAATTCCCAACGATAAACGGCGAAGCCCTAGAAAAAGCGCTCATCTAATAGAAAGGAACTGGTGGGTGATGCTATAGGGTAGGCGAATACATAGGTAGTGGGAAATGCATTGGCCCGCGACAACCAACTGAATATTTGCATTGTGGCATGATTCGAAGTGAGACTAGGGATCTAAAATAGACACGCCAAAATTGCTAACCGAAGTCAATGACGATAGGTCGGTAATCATGAAATAGGCTGCAACCGGTTGCCAATAGCGCGACCCAAAGCGCGACTGTCATGCACGGAAATAGCTTCAGTCTGATCAACGGTTGCCAATCAATCTGTCCGTCTCACCCGGCTGCCAGTGCTAAAGTGAGGGGACATGCATGAGATTGTAAGCTACAGACAGCCACCAACAGGGGGAGCAAACTGCCGAGTAATGAATGACCAATGGTGCGGGATTGGGGGCCATTTGGCTGAAGAGGCCATCGCCCCTAAAAGCCGGGTTGGATTTTGCCTGCATGTGTCCAAGCAAGTCTCCACTTGTGAATTGCTTGATCCCTTCCGTGGGTATCATCAGAGATTTATTATGTCCGGTATCTATGGTAGTAGTGTAGGGCTGGCCAATAAAGAAGTCTTGGCAGCATCCTCTAGAGGTCTAACCGAGCTTTAGTCCATGCAACTCTCTCGTCCATTGAGAAAGACCAGACGACCAGCAGCTTCCTCTTTCATCTTCGCCCTATCTTCCCACAACAGTGCAAACGACGAATCGGCCGGGCTGGACTGCCGGGCTGGTCGAAACACTAGAGCACAAGCTTGGGCGCCAAGTCAGCAAGTTGGCAAAAGGGGTTTAGCTGGGGCATCAACACTGACCGAAGTCCCAAATTGTGCGTCTCGGCAAAGACGCCATCTCCTTCAATTTCAACGGGGGCCTTTTCTGGCCAATAGAAACCGCTCGCCCGCATGGAACCCCTGCTGAGATGGAGGCAAGCTGAAGCATGGATCCCTGCGCGTGATTCTTAATATAGCCCTATCGACGGGCTATCACAGAGCACTTAACTCACTTAGGAAGAATCGCCATCATGCTTTTCCATGGGAGTCCTCATGGGCGGTGGAGGGAACGGGGATTTCGATGTAAGCACGCCCAAGAAACCGCGTGACTGGTGCTTTGAATTGCCTAGGCCACCCCCAATTGGCGTAGTCTTGATTTTTCCTGTGTCTCCTCTTTCTGCATCTCTCAGACCTTTCGTCCTCTGATCGTCTCGATCTGTCGAAACAGCCTCAAATGAAGCCCAATACGCTGCTTCTTCACCTGCTGGGCTTTGCCTCGTGCATTGCTGCTCTCCCGGAGCCCCAGCCTCTGATCACAGAAGCCCCGGCGCTCGCGACTCTCTACGAGCGAGACAATGAGGCCCCCAGTTTCATGGGATATGTCGCGGATAACACGACTTGTAAGCGCCGCCCCCAAATAAGTGCAGAGCAGCCAGGCTGCTGCGATTGAATTGCTGTTTGGGTGCGCACATATTCTGACATGGTTTTGGCTTCTAGACAAAGAGACGGCATGCGCGAAAGGTTATTATAGCTCGGCCGGGCGGAATGCTGGCTGCGTGACGGACAACACGAGGCCGGTTGCGACAGGCTGCACCAGCTCGACCCTCGTCGTATATCCCAATGGTGATAATGCTACCTGGTAAGTCTCTCAACTCATACTGACGCCCCTCGGTGTCCATTTGCTGACGCCCGAGGTCCAGCACGGGAAGCTACACCTGCTCATACCACACCATCTTCGACAACCTTGACCAAAAGTCAACATGGAGTCGGTGGGCGTGCTTCGTCTCCGGAAACACCAACAAGGTCATCGTCTACCGAGCGACTACCCACGTCTCCTCCACGACCACCACATCCGACGTCTCTACTACGACCGACCAATCCGCGACGACTGGCGAGACGACCGATACCGCAGCCTCCGCGACGGCCACATCAGACTCGGGCACAGACGGTTCCAGCGGCGGCAGCAAAAGCATGGCTTGGGTAGCTGGTCCCGTAGTCGGTGGTGTCGCAGGTCTCGCCATCATCGGACTGCTGGTCTGGGTGGTGCTGCTCCTCAAGAGGCGAAACGCCAACAAGGGAGTTGAGGCAGCGCCAGACCCCAACTATAACAACAACAACCTCCCTCCGGGTTCCAACATGTCCCAGATGTACCCATCGCCGCAAGTAACACCCGCCGCGGGCTACGCCGACCCCGTAGGCGAACCATACAAGTATTACCCGCAGGGCCCTCCGCAGTCCCTCTACGCCTCCTCCCCTCCCCAAGGCGGATATTCTCAGGTTCCTACCCAGGCCGCAGAGCTGCACAGCACGTCCTCGCAAGGGCCTTGGATGTCGCCGGCCCCGAGTGAGCTGCCCGCCTCCGAGAGCCACGCTTCCAGGAGTGATGCGGTAGAGCTTGGAGGAAGTGACGTACGGAGATAGAAAGAAAAAACCCAAATTAACGATGACGAGTCGAGGAATCGGAGGACGACTGGACAAAGGGAGATCAATTGGAAAAACTAGCGTGAGCATATCTAGCGAAAACATTGCTGGGCTGTAATACCGGCTGTCCTGTCTCTAAGGAAGTTGATGTTGCCTGACCTGTACATGATAGCATACTTACATAAATGAATTAATAACAGCGATTCACTTTCAGTTTTATTCAGTTTTATCCGGGATCAATGCGGTTGAGTATGTCATCTTGCAACCGATATCTGGCTTAAATAGGGGGAGATTTTGGAGAGCAACGCAACATGCGTGGCTACCGAAATGCCCGTATGATGCAGCCATGTTAGGTCGTAGTCGATATGGGAGCAATATTTCGTTTCCGCTCAGAGTCAAGGAATAATTTCTCGACTTGTCCCGAGCGACTTATCCTACTGATAGAAGCGAACTCTGTCTTTTCGCAAATAGTGACATACGTACGCTGAGCTCTGCATAACTGCGAGTTGCATTTCGAGAGCGACGGCATGGATTAGATTTTGGTCACTTGATATAGCTGAGGTTGAGAGGCGATTGCGTGCGATTCTGCTACCCATAGCTATAAATTCAGACTCAAGCATTGAGATAAGTGCAGGTACCTGCAGATTTGAGCACCTAGTTCCTCACCTTGTTTTCATTTCTTTGAAATCACATCATCCGAAGTCATGGTTAGTGGGGCACCAGCCCAAGGACCACCGTTCATGGGTTGGGTGATTCTCCCCTCCTTTCCGGCCATTTCCAATTTGGAGAAGGCGGCTCTTAGGAAGACCATTCCACATTAGTCACTTAATAGGTTGTTTAGTCTAACGACCTCGTA